TTTTTTGGTTGATTTTTCTTTGTTAAATGGCATTTAAATATATAAAATAAATATCAAAAATATAAGTCTTTGTTTTACTATGATTGCAAATATCAAAAAAGTTTCTATATGTGACACGGCACCAGAGTTAAGTTAGGGTTTTTCAAAATGCTGACATGCCGAGCTCAAAAGGTTCGCCATCACTGGTATAGATGGTTATAGTGGAGCCAATTTTCCTCATAAAGTACCTATTGGGGCTTAGCACACTATTTAGGCTGCTTGAATACAACCAAGAATGTGGTATTAATATTATAATAAATATTATATATTGACTCAGTCAAATATTCAAGATAAAAGGACTGACTATTGACTTAACCCTAAACCAAAAATATGTCTGGCATGGAGGATGCCATGATGAATGAGACAGCATTAAGTCACGCTCCATTAGAAAACACATTCTTCCTCCACTTAACATCATTGCCCACGCACTTTTACCTTACTAGTTCCAGAAATGCACTTCACATAAGCACTCTCCCATCTGGTCTTACAATCTTTACACACAAAAATTGCCATATTTTGGATCCAAAAATGGAAAATAAGGAGGAAGAGTCTTTTATTCCTAGAAAAGCTTGTGACTTTGTATAGGAAATGCAAAAGGCCTGTTTAACCTCATTCACAGCTGTTCTCAAGGTAACTACATTAATTCAGTGTCTCATCTGTGAAGGATTACTCTGGGATTCTTCTCCCTACAGTCTCTCACACTATTTCTGTTTTGTTTTTCTTCTCTTCTCTTCTCTTCTCTTCTCTTCTCTTCTCTTCTCTTCTCTTCTCTTCTCTTCTCTTCTTTCCTTCTTCTTCTTCTTCTTCTTCTCCTTCTTTCTCTCTCTCTCTCTCTCTCTCTCTCTCTCTCTCTCTCTCTCTCTCTCTCTCTCTCTCTTTTGTTAACCCTCATCTGAGGATATTTTTCCATTGATGTATAGAAAAAGTGGAAGGAGAGGGAGAGGGAGAGAAACATCAATGTGAGAAAGACACATCGATTGGTTGCCTCCTGAGCACACCCCAACCAGGGTGGGGTATTGAGCCTTTAACGGAGGTACGGAGGTACGTGCCCTTGACTGGAATAGAACCCTTCAGTCCGTGGGCCCATGCTCTATCCATTGAGCCAAAACAAAATTCTGATCACATATTTCACTGATTGCAACCCTTCTTTGTCTCACATTTCCAATTAATAATGATTGCCAGACTTTTGGTTAGCACATGCTTAAAGCTGACACCCTACTTCAAAAAGCTACAAAACATGGAGGCCATGTAAAATACAGGTTTTCAGAACTTCCTCTCCTTCATCAAATAAAAGGAGGAAGCGGGAAGATTTTGTTCTTGTTGCCCCAGAAATGGAAAAGCGGAAAGAGAGGAAGGGGCCAGCCAGAGGGCTGAGGAGGGGAAGACAAATTTTTCCCGGAAGTTGGGTTTCCTTGAGAGGGTGGGCACCTCCCTGGGCCTGCTTGCTCTGCCCAGGACTAGAGGCAATTTCCTCCCCCAACTTGTCCTGCTGCCAGAGTTCCTCCTGCTTGTCCTCTTTCAAACCTGGCCTTGGTGGTGACTTCTGCTGCTTCTGGCTTTCCTCTGTGGGACCCGAAAGCTCCTTCCTCTCCTTGTCCTTCTCATCCTTCCCATCCTTCCACAGCTGGATCAAGCCCCTGAGACTCAGCACTAGTGAATAGTAGTCCCAGGCTGGTAGGGGTACTGTGGGGCCTCTACAGCCCCAAACAGAGCAGCTGTGCAGGCTGAGAAGGCCCAGTGAGCACTGTACAGACCTGAGCACAGGTAGGCTCACCTGCACGCCTGCCTCCTAGGTGTTGGCCTTGCACAGCTGCAAGCCCAGGCTGGGGTTCATCTGGGAGAGAATGGCCTTAAGCTGTGCCCTCTTGTAAGGGTCAGTGCAGTAGGCCCAGGCATTCGTGGGCACCACCAGCCCCGTCCTGGCCAGGAAAGTGGGGGCACCAGTGTTTTGCTTCCAGTCAGGCTGTTGGTGGTCAGAGAGTCCAGGCTGGCCCAAAGGCAATGTGTTCCCATAGTGTGTTCCCTGGGACAGGCCCTGGGGACTTGGACAAAGTGCTCTATCTGCTGTCCAGGCTTAACGCAATATCCTGATTTAGTTTGCATCTGTCCTTGTTCTGTCTTCCACCTTCATTTGCCCCTTTTTTCTTGTGTTCAAGTTGATTCAGGTTCATCCCTATCTTTTCCACTTATTTCAGATTCTGGTGGGTGATGTGTGTATTACCCTAATTCCATGGTCGGCAAACTGTGTTTCTTTGGCCCCTTGAGTGTGGCTCTTCCTAAGCCTTAGGAGTACCCTAATTAAGTTAATAACAATGTACCTACCTATATAGCTTAAGTTTAAAAAATTTGGCTCTCAAGAGAAATTTCAATCATTGTACTGTTGATATTTGGCTCTGTTGACTAATGAGCTTTCCGACCACTGCCCTAGTTGAAGGGAGTGGTGGGAGGAGAGCTACCTACCTACAGAGGCCTAATTACCACCTGATTCAAATTGCTCTTCTCTATCTTTTCAATTCACTGCTCCTGAATCTTTATTTCAAAGCTATTTTTCATTGCTGACTTATTCACACTCATGCTATAGTTAGCCACTCATTTATTTATTCCAATAGTAATGTACCATTTTAGAGATCCTGTTTTAAAGCATATAATAAAACAAATACAAGGAGTAAATTATTTGAACAACCTTATACTAGAAGAGTGTAAGGAAGAAAATACATTTTTATGGCAGGGCACAGGGACCATAAAGTTATGGAAGGGGAGGGATGTATATAGTGAGAGAAAATGTATTTCAGAGGGTTGTATGACATGCCCCCCACCGTCCGCCAAAAACATGTGAGGGTAAGCAAATTGTTCTGATTTAGAGGGTAAATGCAGATTTAATAGCAGGATAGTATCTAACATCAAACCCACTTGAATTAAAACCTGGGCCTTGTTACCAGGCAAGTTACTTAACTGATTGTTTCCGCTAACAGTCGTCGAAGGAGGAACACACGAGGCCAAAAGGGGTGAAGAATTATGAATTTATTAGGTCATCTAGAAACCCAGAGGGGCTGAGCCCCCAAATGGCGCCAGCACCCAAAGACGGGGAGTCAGAAGTTTTTAAAGGACTCTAGGCAGGCTTTTTCTGGGCGGAGAATTCTCTGTGCAGGCCTGGATTCCAGGAAACTCTGGAGGGGAGAGATAATGGTCTTAGCAAGTGGAACGTGATCTAAGCAGGCGGAGTGCCCACTGTGAAGTGGCCTAAAGGTCAGTTCCCAGGGGAGGGGGATCAGACCTAACAAGTATCTGTACTAACCAATTTATAGGATTATTGTAAGATTAAAATGTGCTATTGCTTGTGAAGCACAAAGCAGACTCACATGTTCAATAAGCGCAACTATTGTTAGATAAGGATCCCAGACCTGTGTTCTTTGCTGTTCAGACCTAGGTGATCATAAGCTTTGGTATTTCTCTGTATTAGTCAGCTGAGGGTTATGATCAAACTGAAATGATACCTACAGAAGTAGAGCCCACCTTTTTTCTTTTTTTAAATCTTTATTGTTTAGCCCTAGCCAATTTGGCTCAGTGGGTAGAGCATTGGCCTGCAGACCAAAGAGTCCCAGGTTCGATTCTGGTCAAGGGCACATACCCTGGTTGCAGGCTCCTCCCCGGCCCGGGCCCTGGTCCGGGCATGTGCAGGAGGCAACCAATCGATGTGTTTCTCTCACATCGATGTTTCTCTCTGTCTTTCCCTCTCTCTCCCACTCACCTTAAAAATCAATAGGAAAAAAAAAATCTTTATTGTTTAAAGTATTACAGATGTCCCCCCCCCCCTTGATTCCTTCTAGCCACACCTGCCCGCCCCCCCCCCCCCATCTCAGGCCTTCACCACACTATTGTCTGTGCCCATGGGTTATGCATATATGCATACAAGTTCTTTGGTTAATCTCTTGCCAACCAACCACCCTCCCCCGCCTTGCCTCTGGGATTCCACACTCTGTTCCATGCTTCCATGTCTCTGGAAACACTGTGTTCCTCAGTTTATTTTGTTACTTGGATTCCACATATGAGTGAGAGATCATGTGATACTTGTCTTTCTCTGACTGGCTTACTTTGTTTAGCATCATACTCTCCGGGTCCCTCCATGCTGTCTCAAAGGGTAAGAGATCCTTCTTTTTTACCGCTGCACAGTATTCCATGGTGTAAATGTACCACAGCTTTTTTACCCACTCGTCTGCTGATGGGCAGTTGGAGCCCACCCTTCTTCTAATCCAAGGCTGCTTCTGCTGCTTACTGCTCAAGAGCCTTCCAGAAGCAGCAGGGCCCAAGGGCAGCTCCCACCTCCAGAACCCAGTAGAAGGCTTTCCAGGCCATAAACAAACCCGAAGTAAGCCTTGTGGGCATGTCAGACCCTGTGCATGATGAGGACAGGGTCCTGCCTTCCGGGGAAGTTTGAAGGGGACGACAGGCTCACACAGGGTGGTCAGTACCCCAAGACTGTAAAGGCTCTAGGGCATCCTGCAGAGGGGAGCAGCTGACACCACAGAAGAGTTACGGTGGGTTCCCCATTTCTCAGGCAGGGAGACAGGCTCAGAGTTCTTGAACCTGCTATCTAAGAGCATCACAGGACTAGAGCTGAAGTCCCCTGGCTTCACCTGTCAGCCCGCCCACTCCACAGGGAGCAGGGGACCGAAACGGTCATCCTCCAAGGGCCACACCGGGTTTCCAAGGTTGGCGGCTGCGGCCGGAACAGAGGCCTGTCGGAGACAGAGGCCGAGAGCCCCCAGCGCGAGACAAGCTCAGCTACGGGACCCAGTCGCGGAGCGCTCACGGGGCGGCCCTGGGGAGGCTCCGGAGAGGCCCCGCCTACACAGCCCTAGACCGACTCCCGTGCAGTCCCGCCAGGCCCCGCGGCTCGCCCACCGAGTCGGGGGCGGGGCCTGCCGGGCTTCCGGGCGGCGCGCGCGGCGGGCGGCGTCGTGACGTCATCGGGAGGCGTGTGGCCGCGCGGCTTTGGCGCGAGCAGTTGAAAGCCCGGCGGGGACCGGCTGTGGGTGCTCGGGAGGAGGCCGCCGCCGGGAGAGCCCGCGGAGTCCGAGGAGCGGCGTCTGGGGAGGCGGTCAGTGCTGCGGGGGGACGCGAGCGGCCACCGGCTGGCGGGGTCGCTGCCAGCACCGCGCGGGTGGGGACGATGGACCGGCCTCTCGCTCGGCCCCGCTCCGGGGACTCGGCCGCGCCGCCCGCTCGGGGCGGGCTCTGGGCCGCAGCGGGGCCCCGTCTGAAACCTCCTGGCGCTCCGGCTCCTTTCCTGGCCGCTTCCGACTCGGTGTCCGCTCCACTGCCCCCAGCTGGTGCTTGTGGGATGGCGGCGTCCTGATTTCCTTGGCGTTTACCTCTAATGGGAGCCCTCGCAACACGTGACTAGTGAACGTAAATCATGTCAAAAATGCTGTTTTTGAGTTGCACTTGCCGCATGTCCAGAGCTTGCACACAGCTCACACACGCAATGCTCCCACCATCGCAGCGAGTCCATTGCCGCCCCAGAAGATGGGACCGAGATCAGTCAGTGTGAGCCCCCGAAGGACCGCACCCCTGAAGTGTGTTCTGTTCTCTTTTACAGACTCGTTTTCCAGGTGTCGGAGTGATATCGTCGAGAAAAATGCCTATTGGGTGCAAAGAGAGGCCAACCTTTTTTGAAATTTTTGAGACGCGATGCAGCCAAGCAGGTACTGACAGATTTTATATAAATTGATCAATTGCAATGAGCAATATTTTCAGAAAAAATATGTAAATACGCATGCTTGCTGGGAAGAATCCAATACTTCACGTTTTTGTTTACACTATAAACTTCTTTATGGAACCGTAAGTCCAGTTAAGAGAATGAACATTTACAGTTACCAAATGATGAGAAACTGTAATTTCTTACTATTTAATCCTGGTGATTAAAGAGGAGACTGGCCCCTTGGTTGGCAGTAGACGAACTTTAGAAGAGCTAATAGAGTTAAGAGCTATCTCCTTGTAACTTTTGTAAACTTGTTATACCTTGCTGCAGATTCGTAAAAGAACAAATGATTCTGTTTAATTAATAGGCTTTAACAAAAGTCACCCACAATCCAAATCTCAAGCATCCTTTTCTTTGTTATGATCTTGACTGGCTCATGAATTTTTCTGTGTCTCTAATTAAAACCAAAATGAGATTTTTATTTTTCTTACAGATTTAGGACCAATAAGCATTAATTGGTTTGAAGAACTTTCTTCAGAAGCTCCCCCATATAATTCTGAAACTGCAGAAGAATCTGAATATAAATCCAGCAGTTATGAACCAAACCCATTTAAAACACCACAAAGGAAACCTTATCATCAGTTGGCTTCTACTCCAGTAATATTCAAAGAGCAAGGTCTAACTCTGCCACTGTATCAATCTCCCTTAAAAGAATTAGATATGGACAGATTAGATTTAGGTAAGTAGTAAGTTGTAGACTAGAGAAAAATATGAAGTAGGAAATCAGACAAACCTGTATTAAAAATCTCTGCTGTCATTAACTGTGTCATATTGGTCAAATCAATCTCTCTGGCTGCACTTTCCCCACTTAAAAAATGGAGATGATGAAAAAAATATCTGATGATAAGTTTGGATTAAATAATTCTTTTTTACTCAATAAATCCCTTTTCCTCCCTCCTTTGATGAATATATCCTGCCTATTGAGATTTACTAAATTGTATATTAACTATACTAAAACAACAACAACACTGGGACTTAATATTAATTAAACTATATTCCTGCAGGCTGTCAAAGAGGACAGAGATGATTTTTATCAATATGCTATAAATCCCTTGATTTGATAGTAGTTTCCCTGGACTATGTGCCAGATATTTCCAATCAAATATTGGTCATTTAAATATTTGTTATTTAAGTAACATCTCTTCCCTCTCTTTAGAGTATTATTTGCTAGTAAGGGGAATAACAGTACACAAATAAATTATAGTCTAAGGTTGAAAGTGGTACATGGCAAAAGAAGTACAAAAAGTATAATGAGAGTTGAGAAGAAAGAACATAAATAGTATTGGGGGAATTATGAAATGATTCATTTGAATTAAACCTTGAAGGGTGGGTAAGATTCAGGAACTCAAAAATGGAAGAGAGTGATAGTGTTCTAGGCAGAGGGGAAAACATGAGGAAGAATATGCAGTTAAGAGAATAGCAAGTAATTCAGATCATTTGGGGTGCTGAATCTGACAGACCAATAACAGCCTAAGGCTGAAAAGAGCAGATTAGAGGCATTTGATAGGTTGTAAAACAGAGAATCACATGCAAATTTGATCATGCTACTTCCTGCTTCAAACCTTGGATTACCTCACTTTTTGTTGTTGTTAATCCTCACTTCAGGATAGTTTTCCCATTGATTTTTATTTACTTAGTTATTTTTTTAGAGAGAGTGGAAGGGAGGGTGGAGACAGAAAAATATCGATGTGAGAGAGACACATCTATTGGTTGCCTTTCACACATGCTCCTACTAGGGCTGGTGATAGAACCTGCAACCCAGGAATATGCCCTTGACCGGAATTGAACACACGACCCTTCAGTCTTAGGCTGACGCTCTAACCGCTGAGCCCAACGAGCTAGGGTGAATTACCTCCCTTTTGCCCTCATAATAAAATCCAGACCCCTTAATATGATTACAAGGTCCTTTATCAGTCTCGTATGGGAAAAATATCTAAATTAATATACTGGTGTAGCACATGTTTAGGAGCTTGTATACAGTACTATGTTGTGGGCATAATGAAAGGAGCAGCCATAGGTCTTAATGTGGTCAGGAAAAGCTCTAAACTAGTTGATATGGAATTTATTAAAACTTGAAAGATACACCTAAAGCCAGTGGTTTATTCTGTAAATGTAATCTGGAATTGGTCTATCCTTAACCAGGGAAGGATAGGGATGAATTAATACAGCCACTCGACTCACTGCAAGGAGCTAACATTTTTAAAATTATAGTGAATACATAATTCAGTTGACTAGTCTCAAGACATTTGCTTTTCAGTTTACTTTAAATTCATTATTGAAACGTAAGACTTAAGCTGTTTTTAACCTACTTTGTTTGAACATGTAGTGTATTATTTTTTTAAAAAGTTATCCCTGAAGTTCTATGAGGAACTGTGCTTCTCAGCAGTCCTTCATTTTGCATAAAATATGAGTTTATCTTACCATTACTCAGCTTATTTATGAGAGTGTCAAGTTTTTTGGGAAATTTTTATTTTGGTATGTACTTGTTTTTGCCTGGTTCATTTTTATTTATTTTTTGCTTTTATGCTTTATAGTTGCATTTTTATTGCTGAGCCAGTAATGATACTTTATTAACTAAAGTTCTTAGTTTATATTAGGGTTTCTTTGTACATGTCTTTGAATTTTGACAAGTTTATAATGTCTTGTATACACCATTACAGTATCATTCAGAATAGTTTCACTGCCCTAAAAACCCCCTACGCTCTAATTCACCACCACCACCCTCCCACAAGCCCCCTGAACCCTTGGTAACCACTGATCTTTTTACTGTCTGTGGTTTTGCCTTTTCCAGAATGTCATATATGTAGTCAGAATCATATAGTATGTAGCCTTTTCAGATTGGCTTCTTTCACTTAGCAATATAAGATTTCTCTATGTCTGTGGCCTGACAGCTCATTTATTTATCACTGAATGATGCTCTGTTGTATGGATGTACCAGTTGGCTTATTCATTCACCAATTGAAGGATATCTTAGTCACTTCCAAGTTTTGGCAATTACGAATAAAGCGGCTATAAACTTTATTCATGTGCGGTATTTCTTGTATGGACCTAAGTTTTAAACTCATTTGAGTATTTACCAAAGAGCGCATTTGTCTGGATCCTTTGTTAGAATTGTGTTTAGTTTTGGCTCTAGCTGGTTGGCTCAGTGGATAGAGCGTTGGCCTGTGGATTGAAGGGTACCAGGTTCAGTTCCAGTCAAGGAAACATGCCTGGGTTGCAGGCTCGATCCCCAGTAGGGGGTGTGCAGGAGGCAGCCGATCAATGTTTCTCTCTCATCGATGTTTCTGACTCTCTATCCCTCTCCCTTCCTCTATAAAAAATCAATAAAATATATTTTAAAAAAAAGAATTATATTTAGTTTTGTAAGAAACTGAAAACTCTTCCAAAGTGGCTGTACCATTTTGCATTTCTACCAGCAATGAATGAGAGTTCTCTTACTCCACATCCTCACCAGCATTTGGTGTTCTCTGTTTTCTATTTTCATTCTAATAGGTATGTAGTAGTATCTCCTTTGGTTATTTTTTTTTTTAAGTCCATTTTTTTTTTCTGATTAGGACCTTTTTAAAGTGAATAGGGAAAAGGTGATATTTCAAAATACAGGTTTAGCTGCTTTTTAACATCTTTAAAACTTTCATAGGAGAAGGAGGTGGGATATTTTGTTGAAGTGGGGTTTTTAACTTATACATTTGGCTTGTTAGTGATTATATCTACTCCCTCTTACTTGAAAAATGAGAATATAGTGCAATGTTTTGTGTATACTATTACAGATAGTTTTTAGTTTGATCTTTGCTTAGTTTATTAACACTGATATGGCTTATTTTCCCCACAGCTTCTCTAAGTTAGAGATTGTAGGATCAGTTAAAGCAACTATTTTTAAAAGCAACTTTTAAGAGTAATAATAAGTGCTTCAAGTGCCCAATTTGTTATATAAAAAGTAGGAACATTAAAAGACTGTAGATTGCATTTGGTAGAGTGATATACAGCTTTGAAAACCCCGTCTGAGCAGTATTGTCTGAGAATGTAGGTGTGTTCAACAGGAATGGAAGCATTATGTGTTGCTATCTATAACCCACTTTTCTAATGCTTGCTAATTCACTCAGCTAGTATTGGTGTAGTGACTACAACATACCAGGCAATTATTGTGGTTGCTAAGGATGCTGTGATAAGTAAGACAAGATCTCTACCTCAGGGAACTCATAGTCTAACGGGGGAAACGGGAGCAGTGTATGATAAACTCTGCAGGGAACGCATAGGAGGGCACTCAGTCTCACCTTAGGGAGGACTAAAGTTTTCTGGAAAATGTAGTTTCAAAATGGGAGCCTGAAAGAGGATGTTCCTGGTCAAGAGAAATAAAGAGAGAAAGAAACAGTTTGTGCAAAGGCCTAGGCTGAGAGACCATTGCAGGATATGCAGGTGGTTGTGTGCAGCTGAAAAGAGTATGAAAAACGTCATCATAGAAATTAAAACATTAGATCGTGAAGGCCTTTGTTATGAAGTTTGAACTTGATATTGAGAACAGGTCTTGAAAGGTTTTCTTCAGAAAAGTCATATGGTCAGATTTAGTACTTTGGTGATTTTCAGTAAAAGTCTTTTCCTTTACCCTTATCATCCATGATAACTTAGTACTGTCTGTAACTTAATAATAGGACAGTGATGGCGAACCTTTTGAGCTCGGCATGTCAGCATTTTGAAAAACCCTAACTTAACTCTGGTGCCACATATAGAAATTTTTTGATATTTGCAACCATAGTAAAACAAAGATTTATATTTTCAACATTTATTTTATATATTTAAATGCCATTTAACAAAGAAAAATCAACCAAAAAAATGAGTTCGCGTGTCACTTCTGACACGCGTGTCATAGGTTCGCCATCACTGTAATAGGACATAGCACATTCCACTTTGTCTTCTATTGGTGCACATTTCAAAATATTTCCCACTATATTCTGAACTCCTTGAGGTTAAAGCTGTATCTTGATTGCATTATTCAAAATGCCTTATGTGTATTATATACTTTTAATAAGGTTGTTGCAATGGGCGCAGACATCCGTTTGGGGGAGGAATCGGCAAACTGAGATGCCAATTCAGACTGAATTCCCCATACGTTCTCCTTTCCGGCATAGACGAGACTGTTTTTAAATACTTCCAGAGAATGAAAATTCACAATATAGAGCATATATATCCTCACTGAATTATTGTACTCTTTCAGGAAAGCATATTACCAATAGTAAATATAAAAATTGTTGCACAATGAAGGCTAAAATGGATCAAGCAAATGATGTTATCATCCCACCTCTAAATTCTTGCCTTAGTGAAAGGTATGATGAAGCTATTATATTAAAATACTTAAATGAAGCATTTACCTACATATGATATTTGTTTTTATAGAAATGCATCTAATTTTCACACATATTTTGGCTGAGAACTTGATAGAGGATCTTCTATTTTTAAATAACCTTTTAGGTTGAGTTCTTTACTATAATAATTTCAACATTAGGAACATTTACTTTGTTTTTCGTATCATGTTGAATTCACTGATTTTTCTATACTATGAAGTTTTGAAGTAAAAATACCGATGATAAAAACAATGCCTTTGAAATATCAGTTTAAATTATTTGCATACTTTGAATCACTGGAGAGAATATGATGCTATTATCGATTCATTTTACATAATTTTTAACTCAAAATATATAATTCCTGGCAGCTAAAATTTATGAGTACTTTATATATTTGAATGGCATTTGAAACAAGTTAGTGTTTATTTAATTCTTCATGAAATGTTACATTTTTTAAAAAGTAATATAAAATATTATAAAGTTGTATAATTTTAATAATTGATATGACTGGGAGTCCTTATTTTTTCAATAAGATTAGTATTTTTTTTTTTTTGCCATTTCTATTATCTCTTAAATAATCTGAGGGATTTGCTTTGTTTTGTTTTAGTCCTGGTATTCTACGGTGTACACATGTGACACCACAAAGAGAAAAGTCAGGTATGATTAAAACCAAGGCTTTTTATTTTTTAAATATTCTAAATTTTAATAAAAATAAATCTTAGTAATTTTTTCCTTGTTTTACCCCCAGTGCTATGTGGAAGTTTATTTCATACACCAAAGCTTATGAAGGTAAATATTCTGCCCAGTTTATTTTTGTTATGTAGTGACAACAGTGATATACCTTTGCACTGAAATTTACAGATCTGCACCTACGATCTCACAGAGGCATTCAATAAATGATAAACGGGGAAAAAATAAATGAATGAAAAATATTCTTAAAAAATATTCATCAGTGTCTTTCTATGAAATAAACTATTTTCTTTATTTCCAGGGTCAGACACGGAAACATATTTCCGAAAGTCTAGGAGCTGAGGTGGACCCTGATATGTCTTGGTCAAGTTCTTTAGCCACACCACCAACCCTTAGTGCTACTGTGCTCATAGGTAATTCTATCAAATGTTTTTATAAGAAGGTAGATGATGTTGATATATCATTATCTCTAATGCTGTTAAAAAAATATGAAACAATAATTAAACAGTAATTAGATTAGATAATCCTGCCTTTAATAAATGTATTAGTTCAAAATAGTTTTATTCTGTTTAGTACAGACCATTATAAATCAGAAGTACATTAGATGGTATTCTATAGGATTCAGGTTAATTTATATGCAAACCAGGATTTTTTTTTTTTATTTTAGCAAAAATGCATTCCATTTTGATTCATCTTTAGCTGGAAATTTAACTTTGTTTTATTGTTGCTCAGATGCAATAATACAGGTAAAATCATGTTGAAAATTAAAAAGTGTTTAACATTTAACATGCCTTTAAGCTGTATTATTGTCTAAATAAATGCTAAAGTCTACACTCATTAGCTTTCAAGTCATGATCCCACAGTTTCATCTGATTCTTCAAGTCTTTGCAGACAGTATTACCTTAAAGTCAGTATCACCAAACCTACCACCTTGTGAATGGTACTAAGAAAGTGAGTAATATAGCTTAATCACTCTGTTGCTTGACCTTTGTAAATACTATACTTGAATCAATTCTGTTTCAAATGTGTCATTTAATTCAATAATGTATGTGTCTTTTGATGTCTGTCCAAAAAATATGTAAGTTTTTGTATGAACTTTAGTGTATGATGTACAATATGATATAGATCAATTGATTTTTTTCTTTTACAGTCAGAGATGAAGAAGCATCTTCAGCTGTATTTCCTAATGATACTACTGATGTACGTAAATATGACAAATTGATTATGCTGTTGCAATTGTTTATTTTAGAATGCCTTGAAAAATTATTTATATTGCATTTTTTTATTCCTTAATTTATGATTTATCTAAACCTTTAAGAAAGTCTCTAAACCTATTTCTATATGTGATTTTCTTTGACTTCCTATAAGAAACTCTGCTGTCTCTCTGTTTAAGAAGAAATTGGATATTTATGGATAGTAAGAGTTTATGTATTAGTAATTTTAAAATGTAACTTTTGCCCGGCTGGTGTGGTGTGTTGCTCAGTGGTTGAGCATTGACCTATGAACCATAGGGTCACAGTTCAATTCCCGGTCAGGGCACATGCCTGGGTGGTGGACTCAATCCCCAGTGCGGGGGCAGAGGGGAAGGGAGGGGAGGGGAGATGTAGGAGGCAGCCAGTTAATGATTCTCATCATTGATGTTTCTATTTCTCTTTCCCTTTCCCTTCCTCTCTGAAATCAATAAAAATATTAAATATGTATATAAAAAACTTTTATAGATTTTGAAAAGCTATTTTTCTGACCACGATGAAAGTTTGAAGGAAAATGATAGGTTTATCCCTTCCGGGCCAAACAATGAAATAAAAAGTCAGAGAGAAGCTAAAAGTTATGGTAAGTTTTTATGTTTATTTGTTTTTAATTGACATCATTGAAGCATTGTTCCTCTTAAAGAAACAACATATTCTTCTTTCTTATGACTAAAGGTATTGAGGGAGAAACTAACTTGATTTACATGAAATTGTTAAAGCATCATGTTAAGACGACTATTCAAGATACTGTTTTGACACAAAAACAAAACAAAACCCATTACTCAAAACTCAGAAAGATGAAGATTAATACTTATTAAGTAACAAAATGTGAAAGCCTTGTTTTCTAGTTAGAGAGTAACTGTGGTTGCAGATACACCAAAATTACCTAATCATGTCATTGCAATATTGCATTTTTCTTAGTAAAATTATGTAATCATGTCATTGCAATATTGCATTTTTCTTAGTAAAATTACGTAATCATGTCATTGCAATATTGCATTTTTCTTAGTATGTGTGTATGTCTGTATAAATGTGTATGAATGGATATCTGTGTGAGTGTAAAATCAGATTCTGCTGTCGGTTGTTGTAGGGCCACAAAATTAGTTTGGACCATCTGGTTTGATAAATCTTAGAATATTAAACTGTGTGTATATATAGTAAGATTGGGTGAATTTTAGTTAGGTAAAGCTGGTAAAGAAAGGTTATTGGTGATCGGAATATGAATTAAAGTCTGAGACATCGGAATTAGTCTTTATCAGAAGAACAGGAGAAGGGTGGGTACTCCCCCCAAAATAGCAAGTACTCAGGAAAACCACTTAAAGGTTCAATTATGTGTTACACAGTACAGACTACTTCTATGAAAAAGGTTGTGACAATCAGATAAATTATATGTTTGTATTATAAAATTCTATTAATATGCTTCTGTTTTAAATTTTAACAGGATTGGGGGATCCATTGGGTAAAGTAAGTGGCTGCAAAGACCATTTTGGAAAGTCAGTGCCAAATGTCCCAGAAGATGAAGTACATGAAAAGGTTGGAGATATTTCTGAAGAAGATAGTTTTTCATTATGCATTTCTAAATATAAAAAAAGAAATCTACAAAAAATAAAAAATGGCAAGACTAGGAAAAATATTTTCAGTGAAACAAAAAACGATGAATGTGAAGAAACTAAAAAACAAATAAAAGATAATAAACAGTCGTTTATATCCAAAGTGGAACCAAATGACAGTGATCCATTAGATTCAAAATTAAGGAGTCAGAAGCACTTTGGGAATGGAAGTGGCAGAATCTCTGAGGAGGCTGTACAGTCTCCAGTCTTTGAATGGTCTCAGCTAACACTCTCAGGTATAAATGGAACCCAAATTGGGAAAATATTGCAAAATTCTTCTTGTCACCAAAATAATTCTGAAAAAGATCTCATAGGTACAGAGAAAGAATGTACCAACTTTATTACTGTAGAAAATTCTTTGCCACATATTTCAAGTGTACCAAAGACAGAGAAGATATTAAAGGAGGAAACAGTGGTGAATAAGAAAGATAAAGGACAGTGTCCTGAATTGCATGAAGATTCCACTCTTGTGGTAAAACACACAGTATCTGAAACTTCTCTGATAGCTTCTCCTCTTCAGGGTATCAAAAAGTCTCAAGTCAGGATAAGAGAATCACCTGAAGAGACACCGAGTGCAGTTTTCTCAAATAACATGACTGATCTAAACTTTAAAGAAGATCCTGAAGCCTCTGAAGGTAGATTGGAAATAAGTACTATATTTTCCCAGGAAGAGAGTTCTTTATGTACAAGTTCAGTTACTAATGGAAGCCGTCCAGTCACTATCAAACATACTTCTGTAGCTTTGAAGAATACAGGTTTAATATCCACTTTGAGAAAGAAAACTAAAAAGTTTATTTATACTATAAATGATGAAACATCTTATCAAGGACTAAAAATGCAGAAAGATCAAGAGTCAGGACTAACTAACTATTCTGCCCAATTTGAAGAAAACACTTTTGAAGCACCATCTACAGTTTTAAATGCTGATTCAGGTACCCTTTTGTGTGTTTGTGTGAATAATACATACAGTTATATGGATGGTGATAAGTTCTCTTATTTGAATATGTGAGTCTCTTTAATCTTTTTTTTTAAATCTTAATCTGAGGATATGGTATTATTGATTTTAGAGAGAGAGGAAAGAGAAACATTGATGTGAGAGAGAAGCATCAATTGGTTGTCTCCTGTATGCACCTGACTGGAGATCAAACCCACAACCTGGTTATGTGCCCTGACCAGGAATCAAACTCACAACCTTTCAGTGTAGGGACAATGCTCCAACCAACTAAGCCAGGGCTCTTTCATCTTTTTAAAAAGCATACTGCCTGTTTTCCTTCTGTAGTTTTTTAAAATCTCTATATCTTGTGCAGTTGACCCTGAACAGCACAGAAGTTAGAGGTGCCAATCCCCATGCAGTTGGAAATTCGAGTATAACTTTACTTCCCCCAAACTCAGTCATCCTTGATATCTGCAAGAAGAGAGGGAGGGGTGATGGGGAGGGGGGACAAGGAAAGGGGTGCTGTGGAGGCGCAGGGGCTGGTTCCAGGATACCAAAATCATCAGATTCTCAAGTCAGTTCCTTATATGAAATGGTATAGAACAATGCATACACTCAGCCCTCTGCATCTGTGGATTCCCAACCACAGATGGAAAATATAGTTTTCCATCCATAGTTTGTTATTACCTGTGGATGCAAAACCCAGAGATATGGAAGACCAATGGTATGTTTTTTGAAAAAAAAATCCATATATAGGTGGACCTGCTCAGTTCAAACCTGTGTTGTTCACGTGTCAACTGTATTCAACATCAGACAATGTCAATATATATTATTTTTTTCATTGAAATTTTTATCATTGTTATAAATTTTCTATCTTAAACATTGTTTAGGCCTTTGATACCAATGTTTAAAACCATTTCATCAAACTGGGATCTGTTTTCATGGTATGTCTATAATCATCACTCTTGAGACAGAACATCCTATATAATAAAAGCCTAGGTGGCGTCACACCCTCGCGTGATGCCCTCGCTCAGCGACTTCACCACAAGATGGCCATGTGCACAGCGGAGGTGTGGCCCAGCAGCCACTCTGTGCAGTGAGGCCTGGGGGTCTCATAGCTCTGTGCTGTGTGGAGGAGGCTGGTCCCAGTGTCTTCGCCACCTCACGAGGAGGTGGCGGGTCCCAGTGGAGGAGGCAGGTCATGGCAGGGGAGGGCAATTGGGGGCAGTCAGGCCCCAGCAGGGGAGGGCAATTGGGGGCCATCAGGCCGGCAGGGAGGGCAGTTGTGGGCAATCAGGCTGGCAGGGGAGGGCAGTTAGGGGCGATCAGGCCGGCAGGGGAGCAGTTAGGGGGTGAATAGGCTGGCAGGCAGAAGTGGTTAGGGGCAATCAGGCAGGCAGGCAGGCGAGTGGTTAGGAGCCAATGGTCCCGGATTGTGAGAGGGATGTCCACCTGCAGGCAGTCGGACATCCGCTGAGGGGTCCCAGATTGAAGAGGGTGTATGCTGGGTTGAGGGACACCCCCCCTCCCCCTGCACGTATTTCGTGCACCGGGCCTCTAGTGTGATTTATAAGCATCAAGAGGTTTACTGCATAATTCCTGCTTTAATTTCCAGTGTTAATTATATGCAGATTGGACAATTCTGTAAAAATGCGCTATTTATTATGTATTTTCACTAAAGCAACTAAAAAATAGGAAAAATGCTAAGTTGAATAAAGTAGTGATTTTTTTTGATTTTTTAAAAAACTTTATTCAGATTATTACAGATGTTCCTCTTCCCCCTCTTCCCCCCCCCCCCCCCCAATAGCTCCCCTCCATCCGGTTCCCACCCCACCCCAGGCCCTCGCCCCCCGGCACTGTCCTCGTCCATAGGTGTAAGATCTTTGTCCAGTCTCTTTACTCACCCCCCACACCCCTTTACCCCAGAGAATTGTCAGTCTTCTCCCTTTCAATGCCCCCAATTCTCTTACATTCACCAGTTTATTCTATTCATCAGATTTCTTATTCATTTGATTTTTAGATTCACTTGTTGATAGATATGTATTTGTTGTCACTTTGTTGTTCATAATTTTTTATCTTTACCTTTTCTTTTCCTCTTCTTAAGGAATATCCTTCAGCATTTCATATAATACTGGTGATGAACTCCTTTAGCTTTTTCTTATCTGTGAAGCTCTTTATCTGACCTTCAATTCTAAATGATAGCTTTGCTGGGTAGAGTAATCTTGGTTGTAGGTTCTTGCTATTCATCACTTTGAATATTTCTTGCCACTCCCTTCTGGCTTGCATAGTTTCTGTTGAGAAATCAGCTGACCGTCGTATGGGTACTCCCTTGTAGTAACTGTTTTTCTCTTGCTGCTTTTAAGATTCTCTCTTTGTCTTTTGTCCTTGGCATTTTAATTATGATGTGTCATGGTGTGGTCCTGTTTGGATTCCTCTTGTTTTGGGGTTCTCTGCGCTTTCTGGACTTGTAAGTCTATTTCTTTTACTAGGTAGGGGAAGTTTTCTGTCATTATTTCTTCAAATAGGTTTTCAATATCTTGCTCTCTCTCTTCTTCTGGCACCCTCATAATTTGGATGTTGATACGCTTGAAGTTGTCCCAGAGGCTCCTTACACTATCTTCATATTTTTGGATTCTTTTTTCTTTTTGCTTTTCCGGTTGGGTGTTTTTTGCTTCTTTGTATTTCAAATCTTTGGCTTGATTCTTGGGATACTCTATCTACTGTTTAATCTCTGTATATTATTCTTTATTTCAGTCAGTGTATACTTAATTTCTGAGTGGTCCTTTTCCTTTTTTTTTTTTTTTTTTTGGCATTTTCACTAAGATCCTTGAAGGTCTCACTAAGTTCCTCAGAGGTTTCTAGAAGATTCTTGAGTAACTGTATAACTGTGGTTTTAAACTCTATATCCAGTATTTTGCTTTCTTCCATTTCTTTCATTTGTGACATGTTTCTTTGTCTCCGCATTTTGGCTGCTTCCCTGTGTTTGTTTCTATGTATTGGGTAGCTCCTAAGTCTTCTTGAGTTGATAGAGTGGCCTTGTTTGGTAGGTGTCCTATAGGGCCCAGTGGCTAAACCTCCCCAGTCACCTGAGGTGGACACTCTTGGTGCACCCCTTTGTGAGCTGTGTGCACAGTCTTGTAGTTAAGCCTTGATTGCTGTTGGTATCACTGGGAGGAATTGACCTCCAGGCCAATTGGCTGTGAGGACCAGCTGGGTCTACAATGGAAGAGCTGCTGTGCAGGAGATACCCTTGTGGGGCAGGACTTGCTTCAGTGGAGCTTTGGTGCTCACCGAGTCTGCCCCTTGAGTGTGTCACTTATGGATGTGAAGAGTTGTAATCTGGTATGTTCTCACATTGACCACTGGATACACTGACTCTTGGATCTCCAAAGAAGTGCAAAGTCAGCCACTGCCTGGGGCCACCCAGCAGGAGCTACAGAGATATCTGCAGATCCCTCCTCTTTGTATCGAGTTTGGAAGGGCCCAGACAAGGCCCAGCTGTGAAGCAAGGTGCTGGTGCAGGTTCTTGGGCCTTCTTTTGATAGTTTTTGGGCTCCCTGACCCAGCTGCTACTTGTTTGACAGGTTTTAGCCTGAGAAAGGACAGGCCATTCATATGCAAAAGCCTCAGCTTGGTGGGGTTGTAAATTGGGTGGGGCAAGGTCTCAGGGAATTCCCAAGGCGCAGCAAACAGTAATGGTGGCCAGTCAGCCCTGCACCAGAGAGGTCCCATCGCAGGAAAAATGACCCCTGCGAGCACCTTCGTCTGGAAGGAAGCCACCCTCGCTTTCCTGCCCTGATGTCAGACAGTCCAGTTTCTCCCCATATGTGTCTGGGTCCCCCAGAGTCTCGCCTGGAACTGGAGTTCAGAGCAAGTGGGCGCTTATATCTCCCTCCCGACTAAAAAAGCAGTGCACCGGGTGCCAGCCTGTTCCACACCTCTACACCTCCTACCAGTCTCAATGTGCTTTCTTCTTTATCTCTCTGGTTGTAGTACTTCCACTCAGCCAGCTTTCCCATGATTCTAGATCAGGGGTGGGCAAACTTTTTGACTCGAGGGCCACAATGGGTTCTTAAACTGGACCGGATGGCCGGAACAAAAGCATGGATGGAGTGTTTGTGTGAACTAATATAAATTCAAAGTAAACATCATTACATAAAAGGGTACGGTCTTTTTTTTTTTTTTTTAGTTTTATTCATTTCAAATGGGCCAGATCCGGCCCGTGGGCCATAGTTTGCCCACGGCTGTTCTAGATGATAGTTGTTCTGTCTTTTAGTTGTAATTTTGATGTGGTTGTGAGAGGCAGCAAGTACAGGTGGTTACCTATGCTGCCATCTTGGTTCCTCTCGTGATCTTTATTTTTATTGCTACATAATTTCCTCAAATATGTAGGGATTGCTGAGATTTATTGCCATATCTCTATGCATCCAGAGTGTGTACAGTAAAGCTAGTTTTTTATTTCAGCAACAATTCATTTAATCAGTGGCTAGACTCTGTTTAAAAGCCAATTTTAGTTTCATATGAGAAGATTTTACTGGGTTGGAATATCTCAGCAAGTAATAGGTTTGGTAGAACTGGAGTACAGAGGAACTGCTTGATATTTGGGTTAATTTTTATTTAAAAAGCCTTTAATGCTTTATATATGAGAATTAAAACCAATGAAACAGCAAATATATAGTAGTGATCAGTAATGAATGAAAATGAGATCAATAATTTTGACTTGTTAATAGGAAATTCAGAGGGCCTTTAATATTAACTGAACAGCCCAGCTGGTGTTGCTCAGTGGTTGAGCATCGGCCTATGAATCAGGGGGTCACAGTTCAATGCCTGGTCAGGGAACATGCCTGGATTGTGGGCTTAATCCCCAGTGGGGGACTTGCAGGAGTCAGCCGATCAATGATTCTCTCTAATCATTGAGATTTCTCTCTCTCTCCCTCTCCCTTCCTCACTAAATCAATAAAAATATATTTTAAAAAACAAAATTAACTGAACAGAGCAGTTTAACTCATTTGCCTTTATAATTGAGACTGTGTCATCTTTCAGACCCTTCATATACAGAACTTGGTTTTAAAAATTGACTTTTTGGTCCTGCCAATGTGACTCAGTGGTTAAGTATCAACCTATGAACCAGGAGATCAAGGATTGATTTCTAGTCAGGGCACATGCCCAGGTTTCACCCTTCAGTGCCACATTTAGAAATGGAATGTAGTGGTATTCACAGGCTCAATCCCCAGTGAGGGTCATGCAGAAAGCAGTTGATCTATGATTCTCTCTCATCATTTATGTTTCTATCTCTTCCTTTCCCTTCCTCTCTGAAATCAATTTTTAAAGTTATTTTTAAAATTTTACTTTTAGTATGTTTTTCAATATGAAAGACTGAATTAATTCTGGTCCTTGCTTTTCCATCTTCTATTACACCAATATTAACAATGAATATTTCTACAATTTTATTTTCCAATAAAATTACTTTAAATTTTACTTGTGAAGCTACCTGCTTTTTGAAACTATGTACTAATTTTGATTGAGTTTATATATATTACAAGAAATAGTAGCCCCTATTTATCTTTAGTTGGAAAATGTAATAACTTCAAATAGAGACTATTTATAATTCTGTTTTAAATCTGACATTTATTGCTTTCCATGTAATTCTTATTTTAGATACTACCTTTTTAACTTTGTAGAAAATATTTAATGAATGTGATTGATGGTACTTTAATTTCATTTTGTCACTTTGTCTCGTTATGCATAGGTTTATTGCATTCTGTGGGAAAAAACTGTTTACAGAATGATTCTGAAGAACCAACTTTGTCTTTAACCAGCTCTTTTGGGAGAATTCTGAGAACATGTTCTAATAATGAAAGCAGTTCTTCTAATAACGAAATAATATCTCACGATCTTGATTATAAAGAAGCAAAAATTAATAAAGAAAAGCTGCAGTCATTTATAACCACAGAAACTGATCATCTGTCATGCTTACAGGAAAAATATTGTGAAGAAGATCCAGAACACCAAATTTTAGACATAAAAGAAAAGGTCTTACCTGCAATCTTTCACTCTGCAATGCCACATTCAGAAATGGAATGTAGTGGTATTCACTTTCAATCCCAGAAAAGCATTTTATATGACCTTGGTAACACCAGCATTTTAACTTCTGGCTCCAAGGATCCTCCATCAAACCCAGTTGTGATTTCTAGAGGAAAAGAATCATATAAAGCATCAGAGAAAGTAAAATTTAAGAATTGTGAACCTGGTTTTAATTTAACAAAAAATATTCCCATGGATAATCAAGAAATATGTGTTTTAAATGAAAATTTTAAAAAAGTGGAGCTGTTGTCACGTGAAAAATACACAATACTAGGATCACCTTCTCTGAAGGTACAATTAAACCAAACTACAAATCTAACAGTAACCCAAAATGTCCAAGAAAAGGCTACTTCAATTTCAAAAATAACTGTCAATTCAAACTCTGAAGAACTTTTCCAAGACAATAAGAAGGATTTTGCCTTTGAAATAATTGATGAGTGGAATATTCCTTTGTTAGAAAATAATGAGGAACTTCAAGAGGCAGGCATCAGTTGTCTCAGAGAACCTATTCTCAAGCACTCTATCATGGTAGTAGATACAGACACCGATGACAAACAAGTAGCCAAAGCATCAATTACAAAAGATTTTGATTCATCAAATGTAGTCCATGATCTTACAGAGAACAGAAAAAGGGTAATGCAGAAAATGATTCTAGGTGAAGATCCAAAGGCAGGCATGTCCTTAGATACAGATAAGAAATCAAACCAAAATAATGATTATATGGACACATGGGCAGAACTTTCAGATCCCATTTCAAGTCACAGTTTTGGACATGGCTTCAGAACAGCTTCTAATAAAGACATAAAACTCTCTGAATACAACATTAAGAAAAGTAAAGTGTTCTTCAAAGATATTGAAGAACATTTTACTACTAGCTTAGCCTGTATAGAAATTGTAAATACCTCATTGTTAGAAAATCAAAAGAAACTAAGCAAACCTCACCCACTTGATGGCCAATCAACTGATACTGCATCTGGGTGTGAGCACAGTAGTGCACTTGCATCTGATAGTGAAAATAGTCACACAACTCCTCCAACTTCGTCTTTGAAGCAAGATTTTAATTCAAACCATAACTTAACACCTAGCCAAACAGCAGAAATTACAGAACTTTCTACTATATTGGAAGAATCAGGAAGTCAGTTTGAATTTACACAGTTTAGAAAACCAAGCCCCATGATGCAGAATAATCCACTTGAAATACCTGAAAACCAGATATCTGCCTTGCATACCACTTCTGAGGAATGGGAAGGTGTTGATCCTCTCATGGATAGCAGCAGGAAGTTGGAAGATAAGCAAAAGTCAGCTTGCTCATTACAGACAAGCTGTAACAAAAATGCTGCTGGATATTCAACCGATAAAAATGAAGTGGAGTTTAGAGGCTTTTACTCTGCTCGTGGCACAAAACTGAATGTTTCTAGTGAAGCACTGCAAAGAGCTGTGAGGCTGTTCAGTGACATTGAGAATATTAGTGAGGAAACCTCTGCAGAAGTAGATCTAAGAAGTTTCTCTTCAAGTAAATGTAATGATACTATTGTTTCAGTGTTTCAGATGGAAAATTGTAACGATAAAAATTTTAATGAAAACAATAAATACCAAGTAATACAACAAAATAATATTGAGATGGCTGCTGGCATCTTTGTTGAAGAAAATTCTGAAGATCAGAAGAAAAATACAGCAAGTGAAGATAAATCTATTGGTGCCTGTAGAAATATTTGTAATTTAGGAGAATCTGATAGCCATGATTTAAATAAAAATGATACAGTTTGTGTTCACAAAGATGAAAATGGCTTGCCATGTGTTACTGATCAGCACAGCATACATCTAAAATCATCTGGCCAGTTTATGAATGGAGGAAACACTCAAGTAAAAGAAGGTGTATCAGATTTAACTTGTTTGGAAGTTGTGAAAGCTGAAGAAATACGTCATGTTCATACGTCAAATAAACAACAGTTAACTGCTAGTAAGATGGAGCAAAACATAAAAGATTTTGACATTTTCGATATATCCTTTAAGACTGCAAGTGGGAAAAATGTCAGAGTCTCCAAAGATTCATTAAATAAAGCTATGAATTTCTTTTATCAAAAATGTGCAGAAGAAGAATTGAATAACTTTTCAGATGCCTTGAATTCTGAATTACTTTCTGGAATAAATGTCAACAAAATAGATATTTCAAGTTATGAGGCCACAGATATGGTTAAAGACAAAACATTGAAAGAAAGTGACTCAGTTTGTATTGAAAATCAATTACTGACTCTCCAAACAGAACCAGAATGTGAAATCAAAAAGATCAAAGAACCCACTGTGTTGGGCTTTCATACAGCTAGTGGGAAAAAGGTAAAAATTGTGAAGGAATATCTGGACAAAGTGAAAAATCTTTTTGATGAGAAAAAGCAAGATAGTGAAACCACTAATTACAGTCATCAAAGGGTAAAGATGCTGAAGGACAGAGAAGAATGTAAAGTAGGGTTTCCATTAGCATGTGAGACTGTTGAAATAACAACTGCTCCAAAGTGTGAAGAAATGCAGAATTCTTTAACGGAGGAAAAACTTGTTTCTAATGAGTTTGCCATGCTACCCAGGCTCTTAAGTGATAATTTATACAGGCAAACTGGAAATTTCAAAATGTCAAATAGTGTTGCTCTAAAAATTGGAAATGTAGAAAAAGAAACAGCAAAAAGTCTTACAACTTGTTACAGAAATCAGTTCACTTGTTCAGCCATTAAAAATTCTGCTGTAGCATTTTGCACAGGACATGGTAGAAAATTTTCTGTGAATCAGGCTTCACTACTTGAAGGAGAATTGGATGATCAACCAGAAGAAATAAATGCTGCCAAAGTTACATGTTTAAAAGACAATCCTGAGGATTATGTAGAAAATCCTTCGTGTGGAAATCACTCAAACAGTATAATAATTGAAAATGACAAAAATCATCTCTCTGAAAAACAAGATTCAACTTATTTAAGTAACAGTAGCATGTCTAATAGCAATTCAGATCACTCTGATTTTTGTCATTCCAATGAGATATATGATAAATTAGAATCGCTCTCAAAGAAAAGGGATAATTTTGGTATTGAGCCAATAGTGAAGAATGCCAAAGAAAAAACAAACACTCATTTTTCTGAAGTAATAGCCACCATAAGAGAAGCAAACACATACCCACAAACTGAAAATGAAGATACTTGTGTTCATAAATTTGTGACTAACTCTTCACCATACAAAAATAAGAAAACAGACATGGAAGTGGCCGTATCTAATTCAAATAATTTTGAGATACAGTCTCCTGCATTTAGTACAGCAAGTGGTCAAATGGTGTCTGTTTCAGATGGAATGAAAGTGAGAGAAAGATTTGCAGACAACTGCACTAAGGTCATTAGGATAAACACAGAGAATAAATCAGGCACTGGCCATACGAAAACTTTGACAGGTTATCATGAGGTGGTGGGTGATTCGGAGGATTTTATTTTTCCTAACTCTCTGGATAGTGAAGAGCATAGCATGCATTCATATAAGGTTTTTACTGGCATTCAGAGTGAACAAATTCTACAACATAGCCAACGTATGTCTAGATCAGAGACCGTTTCTGAAATGTTACCTTGCCAGAGTAATTTGAAAGCTTCTGCTACTTGTAAATTTAATACGGTCTCTAATGCTTGTGGGATTTTTAGCACAGCAAGTGGAAAATGTGTACAAGTGTCAGATGCTGCCTTACAGAAGACCAGATGCATCTTTTCTAAGCTAGAAGAGAGTGCCGAGCAGCTCTTTTCCAAAGTATCATTTGAATCTAATGAAGAACATTCAGACAGGCTCACAAGAGAAGAAAATACTATGATACATATCCCCCCAAATTTGCCATCACCTGCTTTCTCTGGATTTAGTACAGCAAGTGGAAAACAGGTTCCAGTTTCAGAGAGTTCCTTAAACAAAGTTAAGGGGATGTTGGAGGACTTTGATTCACTCAGAACTGAATATGGTCTTCAGAATTCACCTACATCTGGACAAGTTGTGTCAAAACTACCTCTCTCCTGTATTGATAAGAGAACTCCAAAATACTCTGCAAGCTGCAAAATGGAAAAAGCCTGCAATAAAGAATTTAAATTATCAAATAACTGTAACGTTAGAAGTGGTTTTTCAGAAAATACTCCCTCTCTTGAAACTTTGCCATGTCTCTCTCCGTTTAAGCAGGATGAACAACCATTGGTATTAGGGAGCAAAGTATCACTTGTTGGAAGCAGTCATATTTTGGGACAAGAACAAACTTTACCTAAAAATATAAAAATAGACATTATGAAACCTGAAACTTATCCTAATCTTCCCATGACAACAAATACAGAAATTTGTTCTACTTACTCCAAAGATCCAGAAAACTATTTTGAAACAGAAGCAGTGGAGATTGCCAAAGCTTTTATGGAAGATGGTGATCTGACAGATTCTGAACTGCTAAGTCATCCCGACCACTTTTTTCTTACCTGCCAAAACAAGGAAATGGCTTTGTTAAATTCAAGAATTGGAAAAAGAAGAGGAGATGCACTTTTCTTGATTGGTAAGTATCTGTTTTTCCCTTTTGGCTTGGCAATCACTTTTAAAATTAAGTCTTTATTAGTCCTGGTGTCCTAGCTTATAGCAATTAGGGTATTATACACTAAACATGTTTTTCCAGACTTTTAAGTGTAGTTTGGGGAGATGTGACTTCACTCTTGATATCTCTGAGTTTGTATACTAATAAATTGTGTTTTGAAGTTCTTAGTATATTTTTAGACATTATTAATATAGTTATAATGGAGAAATTACTGTTAGAAGTTTGAATTTCTCTAGAAAATTTGAAGCTTTTTAAAAATGTTTTTATTGATTTCAGAGAGGGAGAGAGAGATAGAAACATCAGTGATGAGAAAGAATTATTGATCTGCTGCCTTCTGCATACTCCCTACTGAGGATTGAGCCTGCAACCCGAGCATGTGCCTTTTACTGGAATCGAACCTGGGACCCTTCAGTTTTCAGGCCGATGCTCTATCCTCTGAGCCAAACTGGCTAGGGCTGAAACTCTTATCTTCATGTTATAACAGCTTTTATAATACAACTTATTAACTGTTTTTATAAATAAAGATAGCATAGGTTTAGATTCCGGCTATTATTAACTTAAAAGATTGGTTTGCAATCTCTCATAGTGTCCCGTGAGAGAGCAAACTGGCCTTGAACCATTGCCTGGTGTCTGCCCACTTAGGCTGTAAGCATTGAAATGTGTTGCACAGTGGGGGGGGGGGGGGGGGGGGGGGGGACTGGTTTCTAGTTATAGGTGTTAGCTTGCTTTTTTTTTTTTAAATCTAGGAAGTGTTCTAAAATCAGTATTCTGGTCTTAGTGCCATTTGGACTATATTCTAACTTCTAACAAGTTAGTTTACTAGGATAATTAGATGTGATTTTTTTTCTGTTAGTATCTCTGATTGGGAATAATATTAAGTAATTTAATCTCGATCATTTTAAGTAGTTGATCTTCAATAACTAGCTCCTTTAAAAAAAAACTATAGATTCAGAATAGTTATCACAAGTCTTCTTGTCCAGTATCTTCATACAGAGAGTGACACTGAAGCCAGTCAGTTCATTCTTCCCCTAGGTGCCTTTTGACCCTAAGTTATCCTGGTGGATACAGATTTGCTTAATCAAGCGTTATCCAGGTCTCATTCTATACCAAGTTTATTTTATGGGCAGTGTTAAGTTTATAATACTTACCTTGAACTATTGCTCTTGTCTAATGCAGGATGCTGAAGTGCAGAGATGATTAAAGATACTCATAATTCTTTTATGGAAAATAATGGCTTTATTTATTGGAACCCATTTTGTTCATGTGTATACTGAAATGGGTTGGCCTTCAGCTCAGGAGAAAAAACAACTTTTAATAAATATTCTCAACAGCATCACTGTTTAATTTCCCTCACCTCTGTTATATATTTATATGCAAATATATACAGCTTAATCACCTTCTGGTTATTTGACTAATATAGGTCCCTGTTAAACAATTAAATCACATTATAATCTAACATTTGGTAAAGCCCTGAATGGATATTGTTACTTATTAAATTCTACAAATTCATTTCCTTTAATAAAGCATCAAAAAGCAAAGCACCTGTTACCACATATTATCCACATGGCATGAAGATGCATATCTAGAATTGTGGTTTAATTTTACTTTCAGCATTTGTAGAATTTTTAATAAGAAGTATTACTTCTAATATTTTAATGTAATTTTGGTAATTTTAAAAATATTTTCTCCTCCTCACTGACTCTAATTCAGTGACCTATGTAATAAATTCCTCTTGAGTTTAATGCAGGAAAAAGACATTTATTTGAAGAGATTTTGTTTATCTTTATTGCCAGTAAACCTAGAATTACATTCAGTTCTAGTTTATTAAAAAGTGGTTTATCTGTGGTATTGGGTAATATCTGTTTATCCCTTGACCCAATTAAATAGTGGTATTTTAAATGGTCAAAAATAATAGAAATTAAGTTGATATTGAAAAATGAATATTCTCTTTCAAAATAGAATGGTCGCTATTTAAATTATAATTATGTATTTTTTGCTGAACATATTGTAAGAGTCAGTACTTTAGCTTTTAAAAATGGGCTATAGGCTTTTTTATTTGCTTTTGAAAACCTGTATGGAAATTTTTTTTAGGAGAGCCCCCAATCAAAAGGAACTTGTTAAATGAATTTGATGGGATAATTGAAAATCAAGAAAAATCCTTAAAGGCTTCAAAAAGCACTCCAGATGGTAAAATTTGTTTTTTATCCATATTTTCCCCCTCTATAGTACTACCCATAATATTCATAATAGTTATTTTTTCAGCTCTTTTGATTATATAGATAAGTAGACAAGACCTTACAGTTTGTTTGTTAAACTTATGTCTTGTCTTACTTATGTGAGCTTTTCCTTCATAATACCTGGTATAAGGCAGAGGTTCTTTGTAATTGGGAAATGTGTAATTATTATAAAATAATGACTTTTTAATTTAAAAAAAAGCTATAAAATTTAGTAAGAATTTAGTTTAAACTTCAGTGACTATGCAAATTATATCTTCAGTCTTTAACCTGTCCTGGACTCCAGACTTAGTTATTCATTTGTCGATTTACCACTTTTCTGCTGGTTTTGCTAATAATGCATCTCAGTTAATATGATCAGTGCTAAACCCCTGATACCATCCATGCCCCAGACCTGCTCTTTCTGTTATCTTTCCTTTCTCACTGCCATTCTGCCAGCAGATCACATAAAAGCCTTATGTCATCTTTTACCTTTATTTCCTCATACTTCATATCCAACCCATTAACAAGGCCTATAGGTTCTACCTTCAAAATATAATAAGAATCTGATCATTTCTTCTCACCTCTACCCCTGCAATCTTTATCCAAGCCACTATCATAGCTTCTAACCCTTCTCCCTGTTTTTGCCATTTCCTTTCCTCTAGCCTATTTGCAACACAACAGCCAGAATCACTCTTGTAACACAGAGGTCAGATTCTGTCACTTGACTGCTAAAAACTGTTTGTGGCTTACTATCTCATTTATATGGAAATTCAAAGTTTTTACCATGAAATGCTTGAAAATAAATAAAACATATGTAACTATTGCTCACTATATACTTGGTTCCTGGTTTAGAAAGGAAGAACTGAGATTGTGAGGGAGAAATATGTTAAACTCTGGAGGCTTCGTTCTGAAACACATGGGTAAATCTCACAAGAGGCAGGAACACTTTGGAATATTCTAAATCATGTGTCATTTACTGATAGAGATGTGAAAGTTATCATTAAAACAGAGTGTTTTAAATGTCCATAAAACTATATTATTTCTGTTGTTCTTTTCTTCCTCCGAACTTAATGGTTCTCAAACTTTAGTCTGTATAAGAATTCTAAACAGAGTTGAAAACAAAAACCGTGATTACTATTCTTTATGAGAAATAGAAATAATTTCTAGGATAATTATTACCATACTGAGTTATTACATGATAAATTGTCTTTAGAACCTGTGTAAGATGTGACTTCTTTCTACTCTCTAGGTATTAAAAGAATGGTATTAGGTAGTATGCATATAGGAAAATTTTGTCCTTCTAAAACCATTGTTTTTGACATAGTGCTACAAGAAGTAAATGGAAAAACATGCATATAATTGTAACAATGATACTGTTGCATAAAGTATTATTATATTTGGGGGATTATCTTAAGCCAGTATATACTCAGTATTTATTTGACCATCATATCTTATTTTTATTTTTTTATTTTTATTATTATTTTTTTAAAATATATTTTATTGATTTTTTACAGAGAGAAGGGAGAGAGATAGTTAGAAACATCGATGAGAGAGAAACATCGATCAGCTGCCTCCTGCACATCCCCCACTGGGGAAGTGCCCGCAACCCAGGTACATGTCCTTGACCGGAATCGAACCTGGGACCCTTCAGTCCGCAGGCCGACGTTCTATCCACTGAGCCAAACCGGTTTCGGCTTATTTTTTATTTTTAATGATTTTTTTCTCAGCATGATAATCATTCACAATTTACTAGTGAATGATTCTTTTCCTTCTAATTTTTTATTATGAACATTTTTACATGCAAAAATGTTGAGAGTATACCCATTTAGTCAGCACCTATATTCAACAGTATTACTATTTTTGCTTTTTGTTTTATCTAATTACATATAATATGTGGACATATATAGTAATAGATCTATGAGGATATGTTTGTGTTAAAACACTTTGAGCGTTGCCCAGCTGCAGTGGCTCAATGGTTGAGTGTCACCCTATAAACCAGGAGGTCACGGTTCCTGGTTGGGGCACATGCCTGGGTTGTGGACTTGAACCCCAGTATGGGGCATGCAGGAGGCAGCCGATCAATGATTCTCTCTCATCATTGATGTTTCTATTTCTCTCTCCCTCTCCCTTCCTCTCTGAAATCAATAAAAATATTTTTTTTTAAAAACACACACACACAAAAAAAACCAAAAAACTTTTGGGTGTTAGTTTTAGATCTGACATTTCATAATGGTATAACCACAGAGCCATCATTGTTAGGTTAGGTGGCTCAGGAGGCGGTGTGGGAAATAAAGAGAGCTGAGTTAATCAGAAAAGAAAGAAAGGAAAGGTTTTATTCTGCATCCCCGGGCGACCCATGAAAGACAGGGCATGTGGATCCGTGCCAACATGGAGGGGGGCGCTTTTTTTATACTGCAGTTGGGTGAGGGACGGGGACATGAACTGAGGTATTCAGTTGAGGAAGTTTCCGCTGCAGGGGGTCAGCAGGGTATTCAGGAAGGGGTCCGGTTGATTCAGGGAGAAGCTGGTATCTTGTGTCTGGCACGCTGATCTGTTAGAAATGCCAGGGAGGGTCCATTATCTCAGCACACGTCTGCATGTATCCGATCCTGAGCCCTCTTCGACCTAACAATCATCACCAAAGAAAGTTGCCTAATATCTGATATAATCTAATCTATAGTGGTCTTTTTAGCTTTTTTATAGTTAACTTTATTTTTCATACAGTAGCACTTTTAAATGACCAAGCCAGTTGTTTTGTAGACTGTCCCACATTCTGGATTTGTTTGTTTGCTTGTAGTATCATTTAGCTTTTTGTTCTATTCCCTATTTGGATCAAAGACTTAATTAGGATCTGGTTATGCATTTTTGGCAAGAATGCCTCATAGAAGTTCTGTGTACATGTTTGCATCAGGGGCACACTGTGTCAGACGGTTTGATCACTTGGTTAAGATGCTAACCACCAAATCACTTCATTAAAATGGTCTATTTTCCCATTTGCAACTAGCAGGTAATCTGTGGGATGATCTTTTGGGCTGTGAAAATATCTAGTTTACCACTCTTTCACTCACAATTTCAACATCAATTGATAATATTCACTTGAATCAATTATTTAATTAGATGTTAGAAAATAGTGTTTTCCAAATTATGTTATTCCTTATACATTTAGTAGCTGGGATTCTTCAACAAGGAAGAGCTTTTCCTTAACAACTGGGGAGGAACTATAGTTCTTCCTAAAAAGGCTGGGTAAAAGCTTAATTCTTTCCTTTTAATTATCATCTTTTCAGAGTAGGGAGTAGTTAGTGTAATAATCACTGCTAATGGTAGAAAATGAATTTTTTTCTCTGTTGAATAAAATTGATTTTTATTTATAGTGCATGTACAAAGTCTAAAAGTAAAACATATTACACATAATGTATATTTTCACAAAGAAAACCACTTTTTTATTTAAATCATCCCAAATTTAAAAGTGGAAACCTCTTTAAAGTATATCACAAGGGTTTGTTTATTTTTTTAACATGCCTTGATTAACCTTTGAGCACTTTTGTGCTTTTTATTATCATAAAAAGATTTCCTAGGGTGTTCTTGTAATTCCCTGCCCTACTTCTAGAATCACTGTTTTTCCAATGAGCCTTTCATGGTTAATAGTTTTTAAAAAACAAAATTGGGGTTCTAACTAGTCTCGCTGCTGGGGTCATTTTTTTTAATGCTACAATTCTTGGTTCATAATAACATTGCCATAGTTACTTATCCTGCAGTGGTGGTTCTCACATTTTTTGGTCTGGAGACCTTTTTATACTCTTAAAAATTATTGAAGATCCCAAAGAAGGTCTGTGCATGTCAATTACATTTATTTATATTTATCATATTAGAATTAAAACTGAAATTTTTTAATTTTTGTACATTGTGCATTGGTCATTTTTTAAAATATTAGTTCACTTAGTTATGCTGTTCTTTCAAATATTGGCATATTTTTTATAGAATATTAAACAATTGCTTTTTGTCACCACTGATATGTGAAAAGTTTTAAGTATTTGGAAGCTGTCAGGCTAACAGAGCCAGATAAAAGCCTTCCAAAATTCTAATTTTGTTTAAAAGCTTACATTTTACCACTGGAAACAAATACTGCCACTTGTTTTCCTTGTAGTGACAAGTTCATTTCATTCATTTCAAAAAATATCTCCTGAATATCCAAGTCTGGATAACTAATTGTTTTGGTTATTCTTTTAAGTAACAATGGAACTGTGTGAAAATTTACATAAGTACATTCTTTGAGACAATCATCACACTAAAGTCTGCAATAGGACACACGAGCAATGCAGATGTCATAATTACTCAAAATGTCAACACAATGAAAAAAGACGGGGGTGGGAGTGGTGGGGGGCGTTAATCGGGAAAAAGGAGCCATATGTAATACTTTAACAAACAAAAAAAATATATATGACTTTATTATTATTATCATTATTATTATTAATAAGGTAGCTTTGACAGCTTAGATTCCCTAATAGAGTTGTGGGTATCCCTCCCCCAGGGATCACCCTTCGAGATCCACTGTCTTACAGTATATACATAATAGTTTCAAATTTACCATACATACACACAGCACACATACATACACTCATTATCCTTTCTTACAAGGTATCAGTATATATATATTTTTAATATGTTTTATTGATTTCAGAAAGGAAGGGAGAGGGAGAAAGAGAAACATCAATGTTGAGAGAGAATTATTGATTGTCTGCCTCTTGCATGCCCCATACTGGGGACTGAGCCAGTAACCCGGTCATGTGCCCTTGACCAGAATCAAACCAGGGACTCTTCAGTCCACTCTCTGACACTCTGTCAACTGAGCCAAACCGGCTAGGGCAAGGTATCAGTATATTATACACTGTTTAATACCTTCTTTGTTTGTCGGTGTTGTTTACTTTAGACCATATCTAGACATCATCCCTAATGAATATGTAGAGATTTTCCTCATTCTTTTCATGATTACATAGTACTTGTGATCACATGGCTCTCTCTACAAATTCTAGTTTTTTCAACTGCTCCCCTTCCAACGGACTACTTGGAGATATAAGAAGTACAAGTTACATACTGAGAATAATATCTAAAGTTTAGCTTCTAAACCTTTACAAGACTAAATCTTAAATTAGATATTTTCATTGACTAACACTTTTGAGTTACAATTAACATTGGCTGACTGAAATTTATACTGATTTATTTTATATGTTTGTACTGTGAGTTATTTAGAAAACAGTTATCAGTGTGAATCAGACATTTCTTCTGGTAGTAATTTACTGAGCATGCATTATACGCATTGAAAATGTTAAAGTCTATAATTATATCAAAATTTATGTGTAAATATTTAAAAGTGTGTAATAAATAAACATAGTAAATAAAATATCCTATGAGACTTTCATTAATAACTAATGTAAAATGCATTTTCATTGAAACACAATGTAAAATAATATTTTTCTAGGCACAATAAAAGATAGAAGATTGTTTATGCATCACATTTCTTTAGAGCCAGTTACCTGCGGACCCTTATGGTAAGACATGTTTAAATTTTTTTAAGTTCTAATACAGTGTAGGGAAAGTATGGATATTTTTTTTTCATAAATATTTCTAAAATTAATGGCACTAACATGCATATAGGAGTTAATCCTTCCCTCTTGAAGCCTGCATCAGGGTTAAATCATTGTGTACTTGGGTCATACTTTATAGTGCTATCCATATATGAGCTCATTTTTTAGTCATAACTTTATAAAGTAGTCAAACAGATTTTATTCCCATTTTATGGATGAGGTACTGAGGTTGAATGGAGTTAAGGAAATTACTCAACATTAATTATAAAAAAGATGGAATATATGGAAAATATTTTATCTCTCTTCTTAAAACCCTTCTAAAATTACTAAGATTTAAAAATATATATATCTTTATTGATTTCAGAGAAAAAGGGGGAGGGAGAGAGAGAAACATCAATGATGAGAGTGAATCATTGATTGGCTGCCTCCTGCATGCCCCCTACTGGAGATTGAGACGCAACCCTGGCACGTGCCCTGACCAGGAATCCTGGTTCATAGGCCAATGCTCAACCACTGAGCCACAGCAGCCGGGCTAAGATATTTTTTTAATGTATAAATCCACAAGGATAATAATAAGAAGAAACAACAGAATTTTGGAAGCCAAAAAGCATAAAAGACTTAGGAAGCATAGAACGCCAGAAACTGACATTAGAGTCAGCAGAGAAACTAGCTACTTACTCAATTCAGTTTCCCCTAAAGAACATGAGAGGCCCTGACCAGTTTGGCTCAGTGGATAGAGCATCGGCCTGTGGACTGAAAGGTCCCAGGTTTGATTCCAGTCAAGGGCATGTACCTTGCTTGCAGGCATATCCCCAGTAGGAGGCAGCTGATCGGTGTTTCTCTCTCATTGATGTTTCTAACTCTCTATTCCTCTTCCTTCCTCTCTGTAAAAAAATCAATAAAATATATTTAAAAATATGTTATAAAAAAAAAAAAGAACATGACAGGAACTTAGGTTGGCAGCAACATGTACTTTTGAAGGTAAAGCAGAAAATAGGAAAATTCATTGGAAATCTGTTTTAAGAAGCATCTATATCGCCCTAACCGGCTTGGCTCAGTGGATAGAGCATCAGCCTGCGGACTCAAGGGTCCCAGGTTCGATTCCAGTCAAGGGCATGTACCTTGGTTGCGGGCACATCCCCAGTGGGGAGTGTCCAGGAGGCAACTGATAGATGTTTTTCTCTCATTGATGTTTCTAACTCTCTATCCCTCTCCCTTCCTCTCTGTAAAAAATCAATAAAATATATTTTAAAAGAAAAAAAAAGAAGCTCTTTCTATATCCCTTCCTCCATTGCAGATAGACAGTTATCCCTCTTCCATAAGGTTATTCTCAGGATAAGAGGAATTGAAGGGATTCTGAATTGGGGAAGGGGTGAGGGAGGGTACTGAACACAGAGATTAAGTAAAACCCTATATATTGAGTGGTGAGAAAATTCATTATAAAAAAGATGGGATATATGGAAAATATTTTATCTCTCTTCTTAAAACCCTTCCAAAATTACTAAGATTTTTTAAAAATATATTTTTATTGATTTCAGAGAGAAAGGGAGATGGGGAGAGAAAGAGAAACATCAATGATAAGAGAGAGAGCCTCCTTCCCATACTTGGCTTCCATTGCTGGCAGCCAGGCCTCCAGTTAGAAGACTGGAAGATTTTTTTCTGGGGAATATGACCAGTTCAGTAGAAAAACCCAAAATACTGACAGTTGTGGGTACTCATGTGAAACAGCATAGCCAGATCACCAGATAGTGAAGTCAACAATGGGCAATCCCATAGCATACACCTTCCTGTTGACTTTTCAGTGCCTCACTCTGAAATAAGAACAGCTACTCAAGGAACACCTGTCATTGGAAGAAAGCCTCTATGAAAGATAGTGTCCAAAGTACAAAAATAAACAAAGCAAAAGAAAATAAAAGAAAGAGACAGGAAGGAACTTAGAGAATATAGGTTGTGCAAGGAGAAGAAAACTTTAAAAATATTAGTATTATTAGGAAAGAGAACATATAACATCCTTAAAATGTGTACTAAAGAGCTCTTAGAAATTAAAAATATGATAGCACAAACAAGTTAACTCAGTAGAAGTAATAGAAAATCAAAGTTATGAACACTCCCAGAATGTAGAACAAAAAGAGAAAGAGATGAAAAGGGGAATGAAAAGATAATCAGAAAAGTCTGAAAATTTGGAGTTTGAAAAAGAAGGAATAGGAAAAATATGAGAGTAATTTCAAAGAAAAAGTTTATCAGTACTGAAGGACGAGTTTCCTTGATTAAAAGCAGTGGTTCTCAACCTTCCTAATGCCGCGACCCAGTTCCTCATGTTGTGGTGACCCCCAACCATAAAATTATTTTTGTTGCTACTTCATAACTGTAATTTTGCTACTGTTATGAATCGTAATGTAAATATTTGATATGCAGGATGTATTTTCATTATTACAAATTGAACATAATTAAAGCATAGTGATTAATCACAAAAACAATATGTAATTATATATGTGTTTTCCGATGGTCTTAGGCGACCCCTGTGAAAGGGTCATTCGACCCCCAAAGGGGTCGCGACCCAAAGGTTGAGAACCGCTTATTAAAAGGGTCCTCAGTACAATGAAGGTAACATTCAGCAGACTAACAATGATAAGCAATGTTGTCTTTCCTTCTATTTGTTGTATCTGGGGGGAGTGGGAGATAAATAAAGAGTCCGCAGAGTGAGCACATGAATAAAAAGGAACCACAATGATGGGGCATTGACTAGGGGCAAAGAGGAACCTTAAATTTTCCAGAGGGCAAAAAAAAATTAGGTTTCAAACAAAGCTTTAAGAGTCATATGGTGCCGAAACCGGTTTGGCTCAGTGGATAGAGCGTCGGCCTGCGGACTGAGAGGTCCCAGGTTCGATTCCGGTCAAGGGCATGTACCTGGGTTGCGGGCACATCCCCAGTAGGAGATGTGCAGGAGGCAGCTGATCAATGTTTCTCTCTCATCGATGTTTCTAACTCTCTATCTCTCTCCCTTCCTCTCTGTAAAAGATCAATAAAATATATTTAAAAAAAAAAAAAAAGAGTCATATGGTATAAGTCCTCTCATCATTAATAATGGAAGCTAGAAGATTATGGATTATATGATGTATAATACAGAGCAATGCCTTTAAAATTCCAAGAGGAAATGATTTCCACTCCAGAATTTTATCACTGACCAAAGTATCAAATAAGTGTGAGCATAGACTTTTTTTCAGATGCTAATTACCAGGTTTATCTCCATAGCATTTACTACCAGTGACATATTGTCTCTTTCCCTCCACTAGAATGTAAACTCTATAATTTTGTTTTGTTCGTCACTCTGTCCTCCAGCCAGACAGTGCCTGGCACATAGTAGGACCTCATTACATATTTGTGGATAGATGAATGGATAGCTAAATTAGTTCCAGGGGTTTAAGGTTGGGTAAAAGGAAGTATGGGGTTTTCAACAAGATATCAAATATTAGAAAGAATGTATATGCTAGGGAAGATGATAAATTTAGTCCTATGCAGTTCAAAGTGTGGGAATAACATCTAGGGGAAAGTTGGACATAAGTGACAGGTTAATATTTTTTTTGTTAGGTAGATGGTAATTTAAGCAATAGATATAATCACCTTGCCTAGGAAAGAAATCCAACTTTGGAGGCAGGAAAGAAGAGTCGGAAAGAAGAAAAAAACAGCAAGAAAAGAGAGAAACAAATAAATAAAGGGACAATAGGGTAGATATTAGTGGTAAGAATTTTAAGAGGGGAAAAGTCAACTGTCACAGCTGCCAAAAGTCTAGTAGAATGAGTGTACACATGTAGCAATATTTTTTTGGCATTTTGGGGGTTATGAATAACTTTATTGAGAACAATTTTTATAGAGTAGTGGAAGAAATGAGAATTCAATGAATAGAAATCGAGGATTACCTATTTAGGAAGGTTGGCCACAAGGGGTAACAGTATGAACTTGAAGGGGAGACAAGGCTGAGGAAAAAATGTCTTGGCGAGACTGGTCAGGGTTTTCTAGCTAAATGAAAGGAACCCTAAAAAAAAAAAAAAAAGATATCAACAGGTGATAGAGAAAGAAATGAAGTAGGTGGAATAATAACTGAAAAAATGGGACTCCTGAAAGACAGTTATTAGTTGGGGTTAGGAGTACAGGTGAAAGTGTTAGCCACAAGAAGACGGATAGCTCTTTCTCTGGTTAAAGAGGTGAGTAAGGAGATAACCTAGAGGAGAGAGTCACAAGGATCTGTGTTTGACAGACTGTTCCTATTATGGGAAGTACGTGGTAAAGTCAGACTGGCGTCCTTGTATGAGAAGTTGTAATGGACTTGACAGTGGTATTGTTTTGGGTGGTTACCATGATAAAATGTAAAACAGCAGAATAGTATCACCATGTAGCAATAAGGGCCTCCCCCAAAATGCATATTCCATAATTTTTATGTGTGTGTGTGTGTTTACTGGTAACTAATCAAGCAAATGTTTTCTTCCCATTATAGCACAACTAAGGAAAGGCAAAAAATACAGACTCCAAATTTTACTGAACCTGGTCAAGAATTTCTGTCCAAATCTCATTTTTATGAACAGCCAACTTTGGAAAAATCTTCAAGCAATTTATCAATTTCAGGACAGCCATTTTATAAAGTTCCTGCCACACAAAATAAAAAAAGGAGATACTCAATTACTACAGGCAAACCAGTGAAAGTTTTTGTCCCACCTTTTAAAACTAAATCACATTTTCACAGAGATAATCAGTGTCTTGGCAGCAATACTGATTTGGAAGAAAACAAACAAAAACAAGAAAACATAGGTGAACATGGCTCTGGTGGTAGTAAAAATAATATTAATAACAGTGAAATTCATCAGCCCAACAAAGATAACTCCAATCAAGTAGCAACTGTAATCTCCACAAAGTGTGAAAAAGAACCTTTAGGTATTTTGTAAAAATTTGTGTTGACATAATTTTGCCTTTCAGTTAGATATTTCTTAGATTAAATAATGCTTTGAGGATTTCCCCCCTTTGTAATGATTAATAATTTCAAGACTTTCTTTAATGCCTTAGATTTTTCCACGTCCAGAGATCAGGTTTAAATTACTCTAATATTGTCTTTCAAAAGTAACTACTTGTGGACTTTCTTGTTTTTAAAAAAGTAATTAGACACACACCTACATTGCTATTACTGGAATATATTTTTTCCCAGGCTACTTATTTTCTTCTAAATCTGAAATAAATAAATAAATAAATAAATAAATAAATAAATAAATAAATAAAAATAGATGTATTTCTATTCTTTAGAAGTTGAAACTTTTTTCATGCCTGAAGATTTAAAATTAGAGCTAATTGATAATGTATAATTTTATAAAGAAAGGGTTGTGCTTTTTAAATTTTATACTCAAATACTATTTTTTGCTAATTATTTCTCAATAGATTGCATTGCAAATCTTCAGAATGCCAGAGATGTACAGGATATGCGTATTAAAAAGAAACATGGCCAACAAATTTTTCCACAGCCAGGAAGTCTGTATCTTGTAAAAACATCCACTCTGCCTAGAATCTCTCTGAAAGTAGCAGTAGAAGGCCAAGTTCCCTCTGCATGTTCCCATAAACAGGTATGCTTTTGTTGACAATGCTAATAGCTTTTATAGCAACTTGTAATTTTATTTTATTAACTGGTATCTCCAAATTGCCCTTTTTAAAGGAAGAACCAATTGAAATCATCATGTTCCTATCCACCTACAGGGGCAGCCTCCTCCTCCTCTATTGCCTTAATCCTACAAAGTGATCTAGACTTCAGAATTAGTATTCCTCTTCCCCTTTCAAAACGTATTTTATTACTATAAGTGCTCTTGGCTAGGTGTTAGAGGAAAGTAGTCTCATTGAATTTAAATTGTGAATAACTCATAATCCTGAACTCACTAAGAGTTATTCACAGTTTTAAAAGAGGATTCTTATTAAGCTACTAGAGGCCCAATGCACAAAATTTATGCAAGAGGCCTTTCTTCCCCCGGCTGCCGGCACTGGCTTCCCTCCGGCCGCCAACAGGCACCCAGGACCCTGGCTTCCCTTGCAGCCCTGGTTTTGTCTGGAAGGTCGTTCAGAAGGATGTCCAGTCTAATTAGCATATTATGCTTTTATTATAATAGATTACTGTCTAGTTAGCATTTTAGGCACTGGAAAAGTGAAAATGATATTGGTAATATTAATAGATAACATTTATTGAGCATTTTCTATGTGTTAGGCACTCTTTTAAGCTCTGTGCCTACTGGTTTCACAAGCACCTAAAAGAAAGGCACCATTATTTTGTTCATCATTTTACGAATGAAAGAACTGAAGCACAGAGAAGGTTAAGTAACTGCCCCCAAAGTCACTTAACTAAGCAAGTAGAAGAGCCACAATTCCAAAGCAAGGAGTCTGACTCCAGAGTGAAGTCTGAATGAAGGAAATGATACTCTGGGATCAGGCCTCTGTGGTGAAAGTGAGCACCTTGAAATAGGCCAGGCCTATGTAGAAATCTGACCTCCTGAGGTCAGACTCCCTGAAATACACTTTTTACTGCTCTCTCCCTTCTAAATTTTTGAACTTAAGAGATTTTGTAAAACATTGTTACTTTTTTTACCCCCACAATGACTCCAATGGCAGTATATATAGCAAGAGGCATATACACAGGGGAATGAAAAAGGTGCAACAGACTCGAATTGGGGGGGAGGTGGGGGTCATTTCTAGTACATCAGCATTTTAACTTCTAGTAAATAAGTTAAACCTTTTTTATAGTGAATATTTTAATATTTAAGTGAAAATTTTGAGTAAATTCAGTTTCAGTTTGTTACAATTGTTTCTATTCTGTGAAACATGCTTTTTTGTTTGATTTTGTTTTTCATTATCAAATTTTTCTATTATTTCTTTTGTGCAGCTGTATATGTATGGCGTCTCTAAACATTGCCTAACAATTAATAGTAAAAATGCAGAGTCTTTTCAGTTTCACACTCAGGATTATTTTGGTAAGGAAGCCTCATGGGCTGGAAAAGGCACACAGCTGGCTGACGGTGGATGGCTTATACCCTCCAATGATGGGAAGGCTGGAAAAGAAGAATTTTATAGGTATTCTGTGCAAAAAGAGGTGTTAACTTTTATATATTCTGTAATCATTTTTCCTCACAAGCTCTTCTTTTTTCTCTTTCCTTATCTCTCTTGAACTTAAAAAGTTGGCTAGGAGTAAAATTTTTATACACCAAATCATTTTATTTTATTTACTTATTTTTTTAATCCTCACCTGAGGACATTTTTCCATTGATTTTTAGAGAGTGGAAGAGAGAGGGAAAGACAGAGAGAAATATCAAATGTGAGAGAAGCACATTGATTGGTTGCCTCCTGCACATACCCTGACCAGGGCCTAGGCTGGGGAAGAGTGTGCAACCCCAGTACATGCCCTTGACCGGAATCGAACCCAGGACCCTTTGGTCTGCAGGCTGATGCTCTATCCACTGAGCCAAACCAGCTAGAGTTACATCAGATCATTTTAAATGCATTATGGTTCAATTGACATTTTGGTGAAATCTTTTAAAAAGTGAATTATGGTTTGTCTTAGCATTTAATGAATTGGTTTTCTTAAATTGTGACATTTTCCTTATACATTTACAAAATAAAGACTGATAACAAAAGTTAAATTTGAATTGGCCTTATCATAGACCCACACACATGTACACTTGTGTCATATTCTCTTTCACTGTGTATTTCAATAAATATGAAATAAAATTACTAAAAATTAAACATAAGTACTTAAATATCAGTAATGCCAAAAATTAATAAACATTACTGCCCTAACACAATTTAGAAACTATATAACTTATTATGATTCCAATGTTTATATAAACATAATTTAAAGTTTTTGCTATCAGAGATGTATTACCTTAAGCCAATGGAAAGATATGAAAAACCTTTCTATAGTGCCCTTACTATTTTAAAAAAATTTTAATCCTCAATCGAGGATATGTTTATTGATTTTAGAGAGAGGTGACGGGGGAGAAAGAGAGAGAGAACCATCGATGTGAGAGAGAACATTAATTGGTTGCCTTTTGTACGTGTCCAGACCAAGGATTGAACCCGCAACCAAGGTATGTGCCCTGACTAGGAATCAAACTCACAGCCTTTGGTACACAAGATGACGCTCCAACCAATTGAGCCACTCTGGCCAGGGCCCCTTGTTCTTTAATATCTCTATAAATCTTTCCAAAATTTATGCTTTTGGGAAAGTGATAAAATATTTTTCTTAAATTTTTGTTATGTATCTTGTTAGGTAATTGGAATATATTTTGTTATGTGTTTTATTTTAATTTATTAAATTGATTGGTGTGACATTGGTCAACATAAACGTATAGGCTTCAGGTGTGGGTTTCTATGTTACAAGATCAGTATATTGCATCATGTGACCACCACCCCAAAGTCAAATCTTCTCCTGTCACCATATATGAGGATCCCCTTTTCCCCGCACTCACCTCCCTCTTGCAATCACCACACTGCTGCTTGTGTTTACAAGTTTCAGCTTTATGTCTAACATATGAGTGAAATCATATAGTTCTTAGCAGAGAGAGAAGCACCAGGACTAGAGAAGGAAGTTCTTAATGTGATTTCTAAAAACAGTCTCTTTAATAAGAAAAATAATCTCAAATATGATTATTTTAAGTTAAGGATTTCATTTTCCAGTTGAAATAATTGTATTGACTAATATGTTTAGTGACTTTTTATTAGTATACCAGAGGCCGGATGCACAAAATTCATGCAAGAGTAGGCCTTCCTGCCCTAGTTGGTTTGGCTTGGTGGATAGAGCATCGCCCTGCGGACTGAAAGGTCCCAGGTTCAATTTGGGTCAAGGGCATGTACCTTGGTTGCGGGCACATCCCCAGTAGGGGGTGTGCAGGAGGCAGCTGATCGATGTTTCTCTCTCTCATTGATGTTTCTAACTCTCTATCCCTCTCCCTTCCTCTCTGTAAAAAATCAACAAAATATTTTTTTAATAAAAGAGTAGGCCTTCCTTTCCCCAGTTGACCAGAAGGTCTTCTGGTCTAATTAGCATGTTACTCTTTTATTATTATAGGTATTGATACAGATCAAATCGTTTTCTAAAATTGTATTGCTATTGATTATATATTAACTCATAAAAATTTATTAAATGATCTTATAAAGTATAGATTTTTGCCAAGAATAGTCATGGTTACTGAATTTCATATTATCTTATGTGGAGTTTTGTTTTTTTTGCTATTTTATTCTACCTTTCTTTGTTCAGGGCTCTGTGTGACACCCCAGGTGTGGATCCAAAGCTTATATCTAGAGGTTGGGTCTATAATCACTATAGATGGATTATATGGAAACTGGCAGCTATGGAATTTGCATTTCCTAAGGAATTTGCTAATAGATGCCTAAGCCCAGAAAGGGTGCTTCTTCAACTAAAATACAGGCAAGTTTAAAGCATTACATTATGTAATCACATCTTGGATACAGTTCAGACTTCTGTGCAGTCTGTGATTTCATGTCGTAGTGCAGGGGTGGGGAACCATTTTTCTGCCAAGGGCCATTTGGATATAACATCATTTGCAGGCCATACAAAATTATCAACTTAAAAATTAGCCTGCTATAGTTTGGTCAGACATTGAATTAACTCACCCCTAATGCCTTGGCAGGGCCAGACCAAATGATTTCAAGGGCCTTATATGGCCTGTGGGCTGGACATTCCCCACTTGTGTGGTAGCGGAACACAAGCCAGCTGGCAGTGGCAGTTGCCATCCCATACTGCTGGTCAGTTGTATGGAGTAATTAGTTCTCTTGTCATCCCCCAGGCCCCACTTAAGAGAAATCACACATTTATACACCTCTTGCTTCCCTCTTCCTCCACCCCCTCCATAACTTCTCAGAATATGAATTACCAATTTGATCCACTTTTCGGGGATTGCTAATTAATAAAGCATCTTTCCATTTGGGGGGTTTTAATATTTAATTCACATTTTAATGGCATAAAACTTAATATAGTGCTAGCTACCGAATTTTAAATTCTCTTCTGTCTTAGTATTTTTTCAATAAAGGTATTAAATTTTTATTTTCAACTAGAGGTCCGGTGCACGGACCGGTGGGGTCCCTCAGCCTGGCCTGCGCCCTCTTGCAATCCAGGAGCCCTCAGGGGATGTAGTAGTGCACTAAGCTGCAGGTGGCTCCCGCTCATCCCAGCCCCACTGGGCCTGCCCCCGCCCCTGCCACTCAGTAGCACTGCTGCAGCTGCACTCGGCAGTCATGAGCCCAGCGTCTAAAGCCCATCGGTCAGCTGAACGGCGCTCCCCCTATGGGAGCGCACTGACCACCAGGGGGCAGCTCCTTTGTTGAGCGTCTGCCCCCTGGTGGTCAGTGCACATCATAGCGACCAGTCAACTGCTCGTTCAGTTGCTTAGGCTTTTATATATAGAGATTATTCGTTGACTGTTTTTACATCGAAATTGTACTCACAATTCCTAAAATAATGCATTTTCTTTTTAGATATGATATGGAAATTGATAGAAGTCGAAGATCCGCTATAAAAAAGATAATGGAAAGGGATGACACAGCTGCAAAAACACTTGTTCTCTGTGTTTCTGAAATACTTTCACCAACCACAAGTCTAACTGGAACTTCTAACAGTAAAACTAGTGGTGTGGATAACAGCAAAACAGCTATTGTGGAACTGACAGATGGATGGTATGCTGTGAAGGCCCAGCTGGACCCTCCCCTCTCAGCTCTCGTACAGAAAGGTAGACTGGCTGTCGGTCAGAAGATCATCACTCATGGAGCAGAACTGGTGGGCTCTCCTGATGCCTGTGCACCTCTTGAAGCCCCAGAATCTCTTATGCTAAAGGTAAGTTACATTAATGCACTTTCTTAATAAAAATCACTCATGGTCCTGCCATGGTTACTGAATTTGGGGAGTGAGAGGTACCTCTTTTTACTGCATTCTAAAGGTAAAGAAATTTCTCTCAGGTATTCTGCTCCCTAAAGGTTTTATAAGGTTTTGAAAAATCCACCTGTCTGTTTTTTCTGAGGGAGCTTTCATCTCTGACCTCATACTTGATGATGGGGAACAATGATTAGCTTCATTTCAACCATCAGCAGATTTTCCCTTTCTGAGAGATTCTTTGCCTTTGTATTCAGTATATAGCACCTATCCTCCTGTTTTTGTGGTTCTTTATTTTTTTGTGTGTGTGTGTTTTTCAAGTCTTTTATTTTAAACTTCATATTTGCCATTTGCTTTACTCTCTGTTTCTTTTCTTTGTTTTTTTTTTTAAATTAAATCTTTATTGTTCAGATTATTACAGTTGTTCCTCTTTTTTCCCCCATAGCTCCCCTCCACCCGGTTCCCACCCCACCCTCTGCCCTTACCCCCGCCACCCACTGTTCTCATCCATAGATGCACGATTTTTGTCCAGTCACTTCCCACACCCCCCACACCCCTTCCCATCCCCCGAGAATAGTCAGTCCACTCCCTTTCTATGCCCCTGATTCTATTATATTCACCGGTTTATTCTGTTCATCAAATTATTTGTTCACTTGATTCTTAGATTCACTTGTTGATAGATGTGTATTTGTTGTTCATAATTTGTATCTTTACCTTTTTGTTCTTCTTCCTCTTCTTAAAGGATACCTTTCAGCATTTCATATAATACTCATTTGGTGGTGATGAACCCCTTTAGCTTTTCCTTATCTGTGAAGCTCTTTATCTGACCTTCAATTCTGAATGATAGCTTTGCTAGGTAAAGTAATCCTGGTTGTAGGTTCTTGCTATTCATCACTTTGAATATTTCTTGCCACTCCCTTCTGGCTTGCATAGTTTCTGGTGAGAAATCAGCTGACCGTCGTATGGGTACTCCCTTGTAGGTAACTAACTATTTTTCTCTTGCTGCTTTTAAGATTCTCTCTCTGTCTTTTGCTCTTGGCATTTTAATTATGATGTGTCTTGGTGTGGTCCTCTTTGGATTCCTTTTGTTTGGGGTTCTCTGTGCTTCCTGGACTTGTAAGTCTATTTCTTGCACCAGGTAGGGGAAGTTTTCTGTCGTTATTTCTTCAAATAGGTTTTCAATATCTCTCTCTCTTCTTCTGGCACACCCATAATTCGGATGTTGGTATGCTTGAAGTTGTCCCAGAGGCTCCTTACACTATCTTCATATTTTTGGATTCTTTTTTCTTTTGTTTTTCCGGTTGGGTGTTTTTTGCTTCTTCATATTTCAAATCTTTGACTTGATTCTTGTGATCCTCTAGTCTGCTGTTGGAACTCTGCATAATATTCTTTATTTCAGTCAGTGTATGCTTAATTTTTAGTTGGTCCTTTTTCATAACCTCAAGGGTCTCACTAGATTTCTTGAGGTTCTCACTACATTTATCGGCGGTTTCTAGAAAATTCTTGAAAAACCTTAGAAGTGTAGTTTTGAACTCTATATCCAGTAGTTTGCTTTCCTCCATTTCTGTCATTTGTGACCTGTTTCTTTGTCTCCACATATTTTATGCTTCCCTGTGTTGATAGAGTGGCTTTCTGTGCTAGGTGTCCTATAGGGCCCAGTGGCTCAGCCTCCCCAATTACCTGAGGTGGGCACTCTTGGTGCACCCCTTTGTGGGCTTTGTGCACAGTCTTGTTGTAGTTAAGCCTTGATTGTTGTAGGATCACTGGGAGGAATTGACCTCCAGGACAATTGACTGTGAGAATCATCTGTGTCTGCAGTGGGAGAATTTCTGAGCTGGAGACACTCTTCTGGGGCAAGACTTGCTTCAGTGGGGCTTAGGTGCTCACTGAGTCTGCCCCCTGAGTGTGTCCCTTATCGATCTGAGTATTGTAATCTGGATGGTCCCACCTTGACGACTGGGTACACTAGCTCTTGGATCTCTAAGGAGGTGCTAATCTAGCCTCTGCCTGAGGCTACCCAGCAGGAGCTATGGAGAGATTCCTCTTCTTTTTTGGGGGTTTGAGGTGCCCAGATGAGGCCCAGCTGTGAAGCAATGCAAGCTGCTGTGGGGCCTTGGACCTTCTTTTGGAAGTTCCGGGTCTCGCTGATTCAGCTGCAGTTTGTTAGGTAATTTTCAGATTGCAAAGGGCCAGGCCTTTCATATGCAAAATCCTCTGCACACAGCTTGGGTGGGGCGGGGTCTCAGGGGATCAACAGGGCGGAGCAAGCAGCTATGGCTGCTCCCCAGTCCTGCCCTAAGAGGCCCCACGTCTCAGTGTCCCAGTAATCGCTGCAAGCACCTCTGAGAGAAAGCCGCCCTCGAGTTCCGCCCGATGCCAGACCGTCCAGTTTCTCCCCGTATGAGTCTGGGTCCCCAGAGACTCACCCGGAACTGGAGTTCAGAGCAGTCGGGAGCTTGTGTCTCCCTCCCGATTGAAAAAGACAACCGTTTCCTCAGCCGCCAGCCTTTTCCACGTGCTCCGCGTCCTCAGCTGCCAGCGCTTTCAGCGCGCGCCTCCGTACCTCCGCACTTTACTTCCACACCTCCTCTGAGTCTCAGTGCTTTTCTCTTCTAGTTGTAGAATTTTCACTCAGCCAACCTCCCTGTGGTTCTGAATGATGTCCATTTTGTCTTTTAGTCGTATTTTTGAAGTGGTTGTGCGGGGCAGCAATTTCCGGTGTTTACCTATGCCGCCATCTTGGTTTCTCTCGGTTCTTTCTCTTTAAATAAATGATCAAAATCTGAGAAAGAAAAAAAAAAATCAGTCATTGTTTCAGTTAAGTTCTAAAAAGGTTTTGTTACATTTGGAATTTTAAATATACTTACACCTGTGAAGGATATTCTGTTTCTTGAAAATATGCTGATAATCTCAGTATAAAGAGGCAGATTCCTCAGACACACTTATCCTAACATATCCCCGTCATTAAGTGGCACATGACTTTATAAGATTCATGACCCCAAAAAATATTCACTGATGCAACCCTGCCTGACCCCCTATTCATTCCCCACAAAGGCAACCACTGCAGATCCCTTTGGCTGTTCCTTTGCTTATATGCTATGTTATCTTCTTTCCTTCAGTTTAGACCTTTATTAGCTTCTTGCTGTGAAAGAGGGGTGAAATCTGTGTTCAATATTTACATTATAATGACTATGAAAAACATTTTTTGCAACTCAGCATATAAATATACTATAATTACATTTTATTTCTTTTTTAAAATATATTTTTATTGATTTCAGAGAGGAAGATGGAGGAGAGAGAGAAACATCAATGATGAGAGAGAATCATTGTTTGACTGCCTCCTGCATGCTTTCACAGGGGATCAAGCCCACAACTCTACTGGGAATCAAAACGTGACCTCTTAGTTCATAGGTCAATGCTCAACCACTGAGCCATGCAGGCCAGGTTACACTTACTTTCTTTACAGCTTACTGCTTTCCCTGGAGTTACTATCTTGCTTTTTTGTTTTGATTTTGTTCTTCTTAATTTTCTGTGTCCTTAATACCACCTCATTCCCACACAGGAGCTATGTAAAACTCATCTCAATGTGTTAAAATACCTTTATTGGTTCCATTTATTTTTCTTGATGATTCTTGAACCTCTCCATATTCCTTCTTTATCCTGAAGTGGTTATTTTCCATATATGCTGCACAGGACCTCTTTCTGTGTCAGTAGCCCTGTTTTCTGGATTTTGTATCTTCCTATGTTTATTTTTTGGTTTTAAGTACACACAGCCTCCAGAGACTTTTTGAGAAAGGGAGGATGCAGCTCTTTTGATCATATTGTAAGGTTGGCCAAATATAGAATTTGCAGATGAAATAATTTCTTCAGAATTTTGAAGACATTTTCACAATTACCTTCTTGCTTCTAGTACAGCTTCTGCTATGTTCAGTGCTATTCTTATTCCCAGTCCTTCACTATGGGATCTGTTTTCAAGACATTTTCAACATCATTTGTCTCCAGTATTTTGAAATTTCAAATAATGTACTTTGGTATCAGCCTTACTTTGTAATTATTGTCCTGGGTACACAGTAGTAATCAGTCTATAAACATATGTCCTTCATTGAGTTCTGAGAAATTTTCCTGAAGTAGTTCTTTTTTTAAAATATGTTTTTATTTATTTTAGAGAGGAAGGGAGAGGGAGAGAAAGATGGAAACATCGATGAGAAACATCAGTCGGCTTCCTCCTGCTCGCCCCCTCCTGGGGATCGAGCCTACAACCCAGGCATGTACCCTGACCAGGAATGGAACTGGTGCCCTCTTGGTGCATGGGATGATGCTCAATCCACTGAGCCACAACAACCAGGCTTACTGTAGTTCTTTGATAATTTCTTCCCTTCTACTTTTCTCTCCATTTTTTAAAAATCCTGATATTTAGGCACTAGACCTCTTAGATTGGTCCTCTCATTTTCTTGATTTTTCTGCTATCTCCCCACCCCCCAAGTTCTAGTTTTTAATTTTACCTTTTAATCCCTAAAGTCAGTTTGTCCCTTTTGGCATAATATTTAATTTTTAAGAGACTTTTATTATTCCCTAAGTGTGTTTTCTTTTTTTATGACACCTGGTTTTAGTTTCATAGTTTTAGTATCTTTTTATCTTTCTGAAGTTGTTGATTAATATCTTGATTTATGTTAGTTTTTTCTGACTCCTGCCTTTTTTTTTTCCTTTGACAACCTCTTCTTGTTTGGGTCTCATGTTGGATACTTTCCTCAACTGGTGATTGTTAGCTATTCTTTCCTCTTCAAGAAAGGGGTACTAATGAGCTGATTAGAAGCTCTCTGAGAAGTGGGGCTTGTGAACTTACAGAGTGGTAAGGCAAGAGATTTTATTTTCTTTTTTTCATTAGGAGACCTTCAAATATCAGTGACTGTTCTGAGAGCTGAACAAAGTAAGAAAGCTAGCAAGGGGATTCCTTTTCAGCATAA